ATAATGCTTACCTAGTACTATTAGGCAAGAGAGAATAGGTTTTTGTTAAGTCAGTGCAATTCACCATCTTAAACTACGTAACCACTTACCGATGGGATTGTAGTTACTTTACTACTAGCTGGGTAAAAATAGTAAAAAAGAATTTACCCTGTGAAAGTTTGCATTTAGATATAATTTTTCTAACCAACCATAAAAATATGATGAGAATATGTATATAAGTATAAAGGTTGCCTCACACGGGACAGTAATAATATAATATTATATCTTCCATTATCTACGCATGAAAAATTTTCAAATCTCTGAATTCCGAGGTATGTTCATATTAAGAGGTTGAATAGAGCCACAATTATATGCATGGCGATCGTTTTGTAATTTCACGTCATTATCGAAAAAAAATTGTACGTATTTCAGGTGGCGGTTTGCAAAACACGATTCCACAAAAATTAACTCAATAGAAAATAATTGCAAATTTGCTTCTAAAAATACTTAAATTTTCAACGTCAATTTTTTCTTACGTGGTAGAGCCATGCTGCAGCTATATTAGTAGTAGGTATAGTTATAGCACGAATGGGTCGGCTTGACCGGGGAACGGCCACGCTCTCACGGAATAACATGTAAAATAGCAGTTTAACCCTGCTGTATTTCGTATGGTGAGTGTAGAGAACCGGAGAACCTTTTTACTGGAAACAAGGCATTACATCTTAGTCCTCACGGGTGACAACGCATCTACATTTTGATACGTAATCGAGAATAGATGTAGATGTGTATTGGCCGTAGCAAAGTGGTTGCTACGGCCCATACACATCTAAATGTTAAGTGTACCATCAGGTGGACTGTATGCTCGTTTGTCACCCTTATTCTATTAAAAAAAAAACTTTCTGAGATTTCAGTAAAATAATGTTAAGTATTGTAAGCACTCGTACAATTATGTCTCATGTTAATAAAGCTATTGGGCTATTTTGATTTGTAATAAAGTGATTTTACTTTATAGGTTAAATAATTTATTTACCTTTCTATATCAAGAACCGTTTTTCTGTCACTCCTATTGAATTTGACAGTGCTTGCTGAAATTTAGCATCTTTAGATGGATCAGAATCGCGCGCTGATTCGGCTGTTAGATATTGCAAAAATAATCGAAAATATTTATTTTTACTTTCATGCCGAAGACTACCTTGTTTTATTTTATTACGGTCAAATTATTTTTATTAGGTTATAAAGCAAGTATTTTTGTAAATGTTGTGTATGTAAATGTAAATGTTTTCAATATTTTGTTATTCTATTGTTTACAGTTATTATCACGTCTTAGCTTTACACCAAGAATTACATTAGAAATTCTTGATGGGATGCGATGTAACGCGCATACATTATTTTCATCAAGAACTGTAATATATATATATTTGTTTTTTTTTTACTAGTAGAGACAAAATCTTAAAAAAGTTCAATGAATTAAAAAAATGCCAATAATTATATAATTTCAAGTCAGTGTTTTACATTTAAAGATCAGTTATAAAGAGCCAAAGTTATTATTTTCATTTTGATTAATTTAATACGCGACTAAAATAAATGTGAAAGGGCTTTTATCTGCAATAATAATTTTCGTCAAAAATAACATAGACTTATAAAAGTCATATACACGGTCAATCATAATGAAGATTATCAATTGTACTACAAAATATTTAAAAGACTATTTCCAGTATAATGACACGAATATCATCATTAATGTTTGACTGACACACTTAAAAGTTTTATCACATGGCTAAATGATTGGCTTTTATATTATGATAAGGTCATGCTTTTCTATAAAAAGTTGCAAGAAATTTTAAATCACGGACCTATTGGTTTGTTTTATTTTTTACTTAATTAGTGAAAAACAAGATGGACTGATCTAAATGATGAATAAAATCTGTTTACTTTCTTGTGTAAAAAGTGCTATTTAGAATTTTATGCTAATGATAATTAAAGTTTCTATGCAAATAAGTGTAACATAGCGGGTATTATATTCAATGGTAGCGGCTATCCATATTTGCAAAGCCAGCATCATTTTCTGTACAGAAACCGGCAAAGTGTTGCTCAAGGCACTATAAACAAAGCAGCTGATAAAATGTTACACTCATAACTGTTAACAAAAACTGTTTCCGCAAATGGTCTTATAGATTATAATAATTATTCCGCCGTGTTATGTGCAGGAGCTATTATTAGAAGGAGAAGAGGTAAAATTTTGTTTTAGAAATGCGCAATCAATATTGTTTTGTCTGCAATTGAGCATAAAATAAAAAATAACTTCAGCCAAAGAGCATAACTGGCATTATACTCAGGCCCATCAATTGGTATGGAAAAAAATAATTTTACCAGGTTTCAAAAAATCAATCAAAATTCAAAAAAACATAAATATTAAAATAAAAAATGTATATATGTATGTCTATCATCATTATTCATTGAATAATGATGATAGACATACATATTTACAAAAAAACATAAATATTAAAATAAAAAAATGTATATATGTATGTCTATACATAAATATAATGATTTATGGCCGCTTAGTAACTGACGGTGACTCACTATAACATCCTACAGTCACGCCGAAACTAAGAGGAGAAAATCACTGTAGAAAAGGTAATAATTTATCGTGGAAATTTTGTGATAAATTTAAAAAAATTATAAACTTATCCAAGTTAATCTAACTTAGTCTAACTTATCCTTTAGCATTACAAAAAAAAAACAAATAATAAAATAGTGAGTTGGCGTCAGTTTTTAAGAAGATATAACAAAAATAAACAAAAAAATAAATTCCAAAAAAGTTCAGTATTTAATTGATTATATACCCTGACACTTAGTTTGTCGAGTTGTAAGTAGAAGGCCAAATAGGTCATGTGTCAATTTTAATTAAATATATTTTATATGAAGTGATCTTGACTACGTTTCATCAATTAACCTTTGGTAAAAATTAAAACAGGAATTTTACAATTGTGTTTACAAAAAAACATTATTAGTTGAACCTTGCAGCTTGTTCATTATTTTTGTTATAAATACCTATAAATGTATATATTATTAATAAACAGTTCCCATAATATTTTGGATTATTTTTTATTTTTCCCTATCTGTAATGTTCTACGCTCTATAGAAAATGTGGTGTATGACATGACTGACAATCTTTCGAACGTTTTATAGATAAAACATTTTTTTAGTACAAAGATGTTTTACGTTTTCGTCGCCTCCACATGATATTTTTGTCAGCATAAGGTACCCTTCTATATCTGAAACGAATATAAACATTGCTACAAAGTATAGTAATAGGCTATACAAGTCCCTCTACTGAGCACAGGAATCTTTTTTTTATTTCTGAGAGGGTTTTAGGGCAAGGAAATGCCCGCCGTGCTTCTCCAATGCGTGTTGACGAAAATTGCAATTACAAATTTCATTCGTGCTGTCGGGGTTCAAACCCGTGAAAATGTACAGCGAACGCTTTGACCCAGATCTACTAATACGATACAAATAAATACGATTTAACATATATAATAAATACGTACTTGAAACGTGAACACTTGATAGCTCGTGACGCCTACCGGACAAAGCTACATCACAATGTAATTGAAAATGCGTAACCGCGACATAATTCTCAGTGATGCGCAAGCATAACAGGCAGTATTTCACTTATATAATTGTCATCTCTGCAGTCTATTAATCTTTGCACTTTTATAAGTAATACAGAACGTAGTTGCTAGACGGTGTTGACGTCGGCTAAAATCTCTGCGATCGCCGTTTCGTCAAGGTCATTCAGGCTAGTTAAAGCCTTAAGGATTATTTTACAAAGGTTCAAATATTGGCAAGTTATTTTGTAAGGAAGTTACTTATCGGACGGTACAAATTTTGCGGATGGGGGCTACGCGAGAAAAAGTGTAAGATTTTTCCGTCACGATTGGCGGCTATAAAGAAGCGAGATGGAATAATATCCATCTCCCTCGCACTTTTTCTTATCTTGCCATGAAAGAAATGTATGTTTTTTTTATTAATTAAATATAATACTTCTATTTTTAAGTAAGGTGGTGAATACTTTGTGACGTTTTTTTAGCTTAATAAGTATATTGTAAATCCGTGATTGGCTTCAAGACCTATTTTATAAGTTTTGAGTGTAAATAGATTGTTACAAGATGTGTATTTTGTGAATAAATAAAATCGGGAATATTATAACAATGTTGCAGTTTTTAACTTTTATTACAAATAAGTATAGAAATATGTAGAAATGTGAAATCTAAATTGTAATTACAAATTGCAAATTCTAACATTATTATATAAAATAAAGTCCTGGTCCCGTCTAATTTTTGTTTCTATTTTGTTGCTGGCTTTCTGAAACTCCAAATTCATAATGTCATTTCTGACAGCAACAAAATCTATAACTGCATCTTTTCTAAAAAACCCCTAAATAAAAAATTTCTCATGTTTACTATTAGAAACTACGACGTAAAATCCTGATATTTTCATACAATCCCTATAAAAGATTCGTTTGCCACCTCAGTGTTTCCATGAGGACATACACGACATTTACTGCCACCAGGGCGGCGCCACTTAAAATTGAGGTCTAATATTTGATAGATATCATAGCGGGGAAGTTAATTTGTTCGGAAAATGTAAAGGTTAATGTTTCTTTCTGTTGTATTAGCTATATTTTATATTCATAAAATTAAAAATAAATAAAACAAACCACAGACATTCATAAAAGCAGAAAAATTAAAAAAAAAAAGTTAAAATGTGCAAAAAATAAAGAGCAAACCACTGAGGCATTGTTTTATGTATTAATATAATACTTTTGAAACTGATAAACCTTTACTAAAACTATCTTTTCAAATGACATTGTGTAACAATAAACTTTACCTCAACTAGCGACATCTGGTGAGCAGAAAATTATTAACCCTCATTGACATAAGTGTTTGAATGTCATTCATTCTTAATCTTAATGATACTTATTTGTATATTAATGATATAATAATAATAATACTCACCCAAAGCCACCCTGGTCACAATGCGCCTTAAACCTCATGTACCTCCCCTTGTTGCAGTACAGCAAGGCGAGGTTGGGCACGTCGTTCACTTGCTCGAAAATGCTCGTCGCCTCGTCGAGACACTCGGCGGAGCGGCGAGACAATGACGTGAACTGTTTCAGTAAGATCTTGGCTTTCGAGTCGTTTTGGTCCGGTTCCTCCATGTATTTTACGTAGATCTCTGAAATATAAAGTGCCATGTTAGACGAACTAACTAAATTGTATGTATTTATATTATAGGTGTAGAAATACCCCGATGATGCCGTGAGGAGAGAAACCCGTCGGTTTTTATAGACAATAAATATATAAATTTAAATAATATTGTGAAACGAGTACCAAAGCTTTACCAAATCACCTACATGAAGATGAAGTTTCACCAAGTGACAACAATTGCAAGTATAAAATACAAATTGTAGATAAGAAAGTCGCAAAGTTATTAAATGTGTGAATGTAAGTTTTAATGAGTAAGATAGTGTATGAATGAATTACTGCATGGTAATAACAATTGTCGTCGTAAATTATTTGGGAAAATTTGTTAAAGTATATATGGGAGAGATAATAAAGATCTATTAATATTATTTTTTTTTTCATTTTATTCTGTTGTGTACACTACAAACAGAACAAAACATAAATAGAGAAGTTTCCTCTCAATTTCAGGAGGGTTTTGCGGCAAAAGAGTGTTTACCAATGCGTGCTAGCTTCACATATCACCGAAATATTTTTTTTTATTAACACAGGACAGGAAGTTGATGCATGCGGGTGGCTCGAGACCGCATTTTGTGACTTTCCTTGCGAGAGGCCTAGTTCAGCAGGACTTGTGACGGGATGTAATGATAATAATAATTAAAACACATATATATATCCGCATATTACATAACTGCTGTTGATGTTCTTAATCAGTAAATAAACAAAAGATTTACTGTAAAACACGTAATATATGTAAACGTGTCTGATAGACGCCGGCTAGAATATATTGAAAATAATCGGGGTGTGGCGTAACGTACGTGTACGTATCCAAACGACCGCAAGATGCCCCCCCCCCCCCCCCAATCTTCGCTGCGCGAGTTGTGTCACAGCCCGCATTCAACGTTACGCATTCTTCGATCTTTTAGCTATCGAGTGGTGTATTAAATTTTGTATGTAGATGATAGATACCGACGCCTTAGAGTGAAAATCTCGTAAGTGTAAAAGAAGTAACTTTTCAGGAGGAAGAAAAAACTGTTAAATTTTTGTATCGGCGTCTTTTATGTTTTTTTATTAATTAATATGGAAATTTAACCTGCCTTTATAATATCCCGAACTATTCAATACCTATAAGATTGTCCGAAATGCATAAAATGCTACTTACCAGGTATTCGTATAAAAAACTCGACCTAAAGCATGCAAATACTAGGTTTTCACAGATAGGAAGAGAATTAAAATCGTTTATTTTATTAAATTATTTTTATTTTTAGGTTACATTTTGTTTTGTAAACAGGCACGTTTTTGTGATAAACGTCTTTAAAAGACCTACAACGTTGATAACGATTATTGAGCGCAATGTTTTTCTGTCTAAGTAACAGTGTGTGAATTATAATAGTTAAATCCAGAAATTACAAATAATTACATTCTCTGAACTAAATGTGATGATAATCCTTCTTGTTAGTTGTGCAAAATCTTCGTCATATACTTTTTTATAAAAAAATGTCCCATCACTGCGGTACTCGATACAGCGCAAATCAAACAGGCTCCCCAGCTTTATTTTCAGGTCTAATGGAGTTGAGGTATGGCATGGAGCTAAACTTGTGGAAGAAATTATGCTGTAAGCAGTCGACGTTGTACGGTTTTGTCAGTCTAGCAGTTTTACAAATTTCGACGTACTGTGCTGGTGAATAAATCTCACGATTTTTAAGTTTTCGTTCAATTGTGGCATGCATGGAGTCACACTCCATTTGTGTGTGACCTTTTTCAAGGTATTTATGCGTAATAGTTAAGCATTTTTGCGTTGCAGCAAGAAGTAAGGCGTTTGCCAGTATCGCATTGCGATTTTCATTAGTGTAGCCATCGCTCCAGAATATAACTTTCTTCACAGTGTCATCAACATTATTATTCAAAAAATGATAGAGAATACTAGCAAATTCATCGGCTGTCATGCCTCCTTCACACTCATTCCAGATGAAGCAGTACCCGTCAGAAGTTTTCAAGTCAAAAATCGTAAAATTGTGAACCTTCATTTTAGTTTTGTAGTAGAGAGCGGAAGCATTTAATGCCGGCGACAGTAAAACTGCCTGCAGATCAAATGTGAAGAAAACTTTTAAAGATAGATCAGATATATTTTTGTCTGAAGACTTCTGTTGTCTTGCCTTATCTTTGCGCAAAATATGTGTGTTGTAATCTGCTTCACTTAGATTACCGGCCCTTCTGGCGCAACAGACATCACATTCGTCTTTCTTGGGAGAAAATAATGAAAGGTTCATCGCCTCAAATTCTTCCCAAAATATGAAATTTGATACTTTACAGTCATCATTCGCCTGTTCTCTGAGATTATTCAGATATTCGCGGTAAAGGCTTTGTTTGCTGCTCCAACTTCGTTCTAAATCTAAATAAGTTTAGTCGTAGATTTTCGGCAATAATGTGATTCCAGTTTTGGAAGCATGTTCAAAAATATTCTCTTAAATGTTTTCTTCCTTCTTCTTCTTGTTCTTTAACTGTACTGTTTCTATTTTTCGTATGTACTCTATGAGGCAAGCTACGTGACCAGTTATGGACAGTCCATTCTCCGATGTCAAAAGTATGTAGATACATTTGTTTGCAAACCGTGTACTGCCCTTCAGGCGTGTTTAAAGTGTATTTATAAGTATTATCCCTTCGTGCATTTATAGTGTTACATTTACGTCTTGCCACACTTTGACATTGGACTATCTTTTTAATCCACACCTTCTTCGCCTCCCAAGTTAAATTCCTGTACTGATTGAAATTGCTTGCTTTTTTCAGTCACTATTATGATTTATGACACTGAAAATATTTACTGTTTTCCGTATGACGACACCTAAGTTTTACAGAACGTTTTCTTCTGGGGACATTGAAAACCACTTTTCCTTCTTCAGTTTTTCTTCTGCCTGCATAAGTGTCTCCTTTCATACGTTTGTTCTTATTCGCTTCACTAATCCAACATTCTTTATTTGCCTTTCCTCTTTTAGCTCGGCGTCGTTTTCCATCAGTCACATTATTGTCTTCCGATTCAGAGGATGATTGTCTCAATAATTCGTTGGGTCGATAGTCAGAATCTCCATCATCAGGCGAGTAGTCACCGATATCAGAAAAAGGCGAAATATGACCCAGCATCGGATCTTCGGAACATGAAGAAATAATATCTAAAGGTTCATAAAGATTTTGAAGAGAATCAATTACGGGGAGCAAATCAAAATTTAATGCGCTTGTTGGTGACATTAATGGCCATTGTTGCATAATATCCTGGCGTAGCAGAGTGTTAAGTGAAGGCTCCTTTGAATCTTTCATCAGTATCTTCATTAAAATCTTTCAGCAGTACTACTTCTGCCGCTATATAACAACCCATCTCTTCATCAAAATTATCTACTTAATATGAATTAACAACAGAAAGTGAGTTGCCATTTGTTTGCAAGTTTGCATGTTCTTTAATAACTTTAAGTGTACATTTTTTAAATGACTTATTTATTTTTCAGAATTTATCATACGGAGACACGATTTAACGAGTGAAATCGTTTTGTTATGATCATCTTTCAGACTCTTTGACGGCATGGGAGCAGTGTTACTTGGCACGGGAATCATGAATGCTGGAAGAAGTTCTTTATTTTTGTAAATTAGATTCTCCGTTCTATTTATCAAATGCCAACGAAATTCAGCGAACATGTCGGGTCTATCTATCTGTAAACAACCATCAATCGGATCATTGACTTTTTTTGAAGATAACGGTGTGCTAGTTTGATGACAAGATTGGATAGGGTGTTCGCTTGTGGAAGTATGTTCCTCTCTTAAATTTGCCTTAAATTCTTGTGATGGATTAATTAAAACCTTTACATTTTCACGTAATTTACGTGACTTTCTCTCGCTACGCGATGAATAATAGTTTTTTACATTCTCTGGAGAGTATCAACTGTCGCCAGGATGTGACGCCACGATGAACTAAAACATAAGTAATTATATTATTTATTTATAAAACTGTATAGGCATTAACGATTAAACTATGAAAACCTAGTAATGGCTAGTGAACATGAAATGAAAGGCCCGTAAGTACGTTTACGAGGTATTTGTAGAAAATAATAAAAACGAAATCCTCGTAAGTACCTAATGAATTAGAGAAATTATATAAAAACGATTCCATGAACTTGATTTTAGGTTTTAATACATTTCATATTGATACAAATGCATTATATACAGTACCGTCTTTACCATAGGGGCACACGGGGCTCGTGCCCAGGGCCCCTATCCTCAGGGGGGCCCCGAAAGGCTGATATATTCGCTTACACTACCTATACAATCTTTTTTCTATTTTATGAAAATATAACCTGACTAAAAATTAATAGATTAATGATGAAAAATTAATAGATGAAGACAACCCTGAGCAGTGACAAGCCACACATTGAAAACGTGATATTGATAGATTTCCTAGGTAGAAAATATGTAGTTCTGCGTTTCACCACCATCTAAACGTTTTTGTCGGGCTGTACAATCGCCTTACTTATAGGTTGGATTTTTTTTTTTATTTTCGGCAATCTATGTATTTATATAATTACAGCTAAATAAATGTTGTTGTTTAAATTCATAATAGGAAAAGACATGAATATAGGCTTAGAGTAATTACATTTGAAGATATAATAGATTTTGTACAACAGAAATCACGAAAGAAACCACTGTCGTAAGAGTAACCTATTCAAACCACCAACGTACTTATCTAATTAATAACTATAATAACTATAAGATCATAGCAGAAAAATGATTTGTCCTTCACTTTGTTACTTTCCAATAGGGCCCCAAATTCTTGTGTGCCCAAGGGCCCCGGTATGGTCTAAGACGGCGTTGATTATATATGATTTGTTTTTAATTTACTAATCTATTTATTTGTCCGAAGACCTCGTAATCATCCTTACGTACTTTTCCTTCTCGACGTAATACATATCTACAAATGAATACCTTGTAAAAGTACAAACGTGGTATTCTGTCTTAATTTAAGTTAAAAGAAAATTTCATATTTGACTTTACGTGCTTTGAAAACTTATTTATGTGCTGTACGAGGTTTCTAATTAGAAAACTAGCCATAACTTTTAAATATATAGTAATATCTGCTGAAAAATACATTTCAAACATGAAAAGTACTTACCTTCCTTCGAAAAACACTAAATTATACAACAACAGCAAGTTAAACTCAAGTAATCAATTTTCAAATAAGGAACGACACGTTCGTTGCAAGGTATTCACGCCAAACTGACAGATGCGAGTATTTACGAGGTTCTCATTCATTTCTCATTTACTGTCATAGATGGGGCTACGAGTATCAAATAAATAAATTAGTCAGATCAGGATGTGCGTTGCGAGGTTCTCTTCCTAGAAACGCAATAAAATAAATTTGAGCAAAAATGCATTCCCGAGGTTTTCACTCTAAGGCGTCGATACGTAGCTGTACCTGCAACACCAAACTGTATCCTCAGATGTCGTTGTCATCAGTTGTCTGAATAGCCTGTATTCACGTCAATATATTACCGATAGAATATTCAGTTCTACTAGTGTAACTTACGTTGTGCATCATTCATGAACCGCACGGCGAGCTCGTTGCAAACCGACGCCAATCTTCGCAGCAACTCTGCGCGTTTTGCCCCGGCCACTAGGCCGGCTCTCCGATAGTAGTCGCACGAGCGCAACATTGCTTCCGTGTCGCTTGATGGCAGTGATATATCTGCAAGTTGTAATCAATATAATAAAAGAAGATGGAAAACGGCATGGTACCTCGGAAGGTACGGTACGCGCAGGCTGCAAGTTCGAGTCTCACACGATATCTGTACCGGGGCTGAGTAGGGGAGACTGGGGATGGTTGACTAAATTTCAATTTCAGAGAAGCCGCTTGTATTTTCATTATTTTGGTATATATTATTGTAAAAATCAATACATCTGAAAGGTTAACTATTAAGCTTCTGAAAAAAAATAGTGTGTAGAGTAGAGTGCAGAAGTTTAATTTTGTAGAATACGAAATATGAGTCAACCTACCCCATGCCCGGGGTTGGTTGACTTGTCACTAGGGGTAAGTTAACCTATGAATTAATTAGTACACATTATAGGAATAAATAGGATAAAAAATATAAGAAGCATTTGTAAGTTTATTACAACGAAATTTTTAATCCTAACAATTTAAATATACATCATAAACTATAAATAAGAATAGATAATCATACTTTTAAACATTTGTCAACTAAACACTGAAAACATAATACTTTTATTATCTGAAACAAAACTTTTTTATGTACTTATAATAATATACACAACAGTAAAAACAGTTTTAACTAATTCAACTAATATACGAGTAATTATATATTTTAACTAACTAAATCATATTTTTGGAATTATCAAATCAGTGTTCAAAATGGGAGGTGCAATTTTTGCATTCATGGAACAAAATATTATCATTTACACAGTCTTGTGCATGGGCCCATAACTTGCACATAGTGCACTGAATCCATGTTTCTTCAGGAATACTTAAAATGTGAGATTCAGTGCACTCTAAACAAAATGTATCATCCTCATCACTTTTGTCTTCTTCGTCATTATTCCTCTTATTTATCCCATGAAAATCCTATTACTCTTGTTAGTCTGTCTGTATAAATAGTGCAAACCTTCGAGTTTCTTAAGGAGTAAATCCATAATAAATATCAGGTGCCTTCTTGACGTAATTTTCTAATGCGAGTTCTTCCTCATCAGTAAATATTTGTTTATTTTTAGTGTAGCCAGCGCTCTCCAAAGTCAATTTATACCTAGTCAATGTCGTTTACTTTCTAACATTTTCTTCATTTTTACCACGTGGCGAAACAAATAGTATAGCTTTTTTTTTTTGGTCTAGAATTAATACTAATTTTTATCAAAAATAACTTGTTGTCATGCTCTAACGAAGACATCCTTAGGTGTACTTTCTCGATCAGTCTTTTTTTTGTATATTCGCATAGCTCTGCAACAACAAGCATTTGATATATTAAAAAGAAAAGTGTGCTTATTCCAAGTAAAGTATACTACTATTGGGTAGGTTGACTTGGTGGTCATCAAGTTGGTTTACCAGCCCCGGATCGCTTTGTAATTTTTTGATATAGCCTCAAAACTGCGGCGAAATAAAAAAGAATGATACGTAATAAAAAAATCTATCTTTTATTTTAAATTACTTGAAAGTAAATAACATCTAGTATATAGGCGTTAATATAAAATATATTAGGAGTCAAACAATTACTTACATGGTTTGTTTTTATATATTAAGCTCCTTCTCCCAAACTACGTGAGTACGTGATACCGCTCTCCCGATACCTGAGCGGGGGTAAAAAACTGTTTCTTGCGCCTAGTTGGATGAGGCAACACTTTTGAGTAGGTCTAGTTTGGGCAATAAGTCAACCTGCCCCTATAGTCAACCATCCCCGGTTTTTTCGGGTTATTTCTCCATGTGCAATTTATATATGTAGGTAAAACGTGTAAATACAGGAAACACTCCTTCTGAGGAGAGTAGCGTTTAAAAACCAATAGAATAAAGAAAAAAACGTATATTTGTTAGTTAAAGTCCTTCAGTCCTTTTCATTTAATTGCAGTAATAAATTGCTCACTAAAACGTCTTTGACCGTGTAGTGACGGTGTAAGAATATCCACTACCCCTTATCCCATAGCTGTCGTAATAGGCGACAGAGGGAAACAAACCAAGAGATATGCAGCAACGTCTTCCTAATAACAACTAAAGATAAACTGCGGTTGCCAACCCGCCTGCCAAGCGTGGCAACTAATGTACATATTCCTCCATGAAGAAATCTATGGGGAGGTCCTTGTTCATCAGTGGACTTTTGATAGCTTGTAACTGTAACAGTATAACCTTTTTTTTATAGTATAGGGTGACAAACGAGCACACAGTCCACCTGATGGTAAGTGGTTGCTGTGGCCAGTAGTTATCTACATCTATCCTCGTTTGCGAATCAAAATGAAGATGCTTTGTCACCCGTGAGGACTAAGATGGAATGCCTCATTTCCAGTAAAAAAGAGGTCTCCGGTTCTCTACACTCACCATACGAAACACAGCAGCGTTAAGCTGTTATTTTACGCTGCTATTCTGTGAGAGCGTGGTCCTTCCCTGGTCGGGCCGACCCATTCGTGCTACAACTATACTACCAATATAACGGTCCCATATAAATTTGATCAAGGTCTGACTCAATAGTTTTTGAGTTATTCATAATAATTTATATTGAATATTTAATTTTAAAATATAAGTTTTTTATTCTTTCCTTTGTATTTTTTTTATTTATTGTAATTTTTTTTGATCAGCATAATAGATGGTGGCTTAAGAGAATCCAGCCACTATGGGAATGTTTATTTATGGGAAAGGAATATCTTATGGCTTCCGATCACTACGTCTATATATTCAAGTACACTGGACTGGCTATACCATACAAAATGCTTATGCCGATTTGAAGCGCCCTCATTGTCCGTACCGGGAACTAAAATTGACATAATATGCCAAAGTATGTTGTGTTATTTAAATCGTTACTCTGTATTTTGAACTTTTAAACTTAAAAATGAAAGTATTTTATGTGGTTTGATTAGGTTTGATTTTAGTTACTTTTAGTAATAAGGAGTGTGCCTAATATGTAAAACTCGTTAATAAAAGGAAAGTAGGATAACATTCCACAAATTAGTGAATTTACAGTTAATATTAAACAAATTAAAACTATTTGATAATATAGGTACTTAAAAATTTGTTACTAATTTTAATATCGTAATTGCCAACATGTTTGACTTTATATTACTGAGTTTTGATAAACAATAAAATTCAATACGGTTGTCGAATTCCTCGTCTATAATACTTATCGATGTTCTTTTATACCCACATCTGTTAACAACACCCAAAGTCGCCGACAATAGACAATTATGAAATGTTTACTAATTAACAGGTTTCCAACTTAACTTAGACTATAATTATAGCGAAAAGGCACAAAAATTGGGAATTGGCGTCCGAAACAAAATGATTATCTTTGTTCTAAACACTTCACACGTTTACGTTTATTGGACATTGTACGTTTTATTGGACATGAGAAAGGCACCCCTTTGAAAAATACTTACTACCACAATATTTTCTGGTAGTACCAATACCAGTAAGTATAAAAGTATTAATTTATTATTTCGAATGTTTTTTTTATTTCTTCTCTCCTTGTTTTCCTCCAGACTCAAGAGCCATAGCCAAGTGTAGAAAGGTAGCCTGATGAAGACTTTGTGTTTACAAGACATAAATTTGTTAAATCTGTTTAAATGTGACCAATTTATTATATCAAGGGAATAAATTTAACTTGAGTTAGTTAAAGTTTTTAGAGTTTGCGTGAGTTTAGGGGTGTGGGGGGAGGGGGAGGGGGGTTTAGTAGACATGGCTTGGTAACCCATGGTAAATTTGTAGCGCGACTCACATAGCTGGCCCGAAATGAAGGGCTGGCCCAAGGTGGCCACTCTGAGTGGGCTTGTCGAGCCCTTGGATGTGTGTAAGGGGGCTGCGGCTCGAGGGGAGTCCTCTCTAGATATCGCTGCAGCCGACGTGGAGTCGCAAGGGAAGAGAATTGTTGGTATGGCGATGTGCCACTCGACTATCCTCCGCTCGGGGAGTCCGTTGTGCAGGTGGAGTAAGAGGCCGCGAAGGGCGATGCGCCTTGTGTTCCTGGTGCGCCTTATCTGGGAAGGAAAAGGGGAAAGAGAAGTCCTCAACTAAGCGGGGGTCCTCGCTAGTGGGACCGCTGGTGTGTTTGAAAGCGTTTCAGTGGCCTTGCCAATGAGTGGCGAAGATGGAACATCATGGGGTTTTAGTAGGTGCGAGTCACACATAATCCGTTCTTGCCCCCGCGAAGCAGGTATGCGTAGACATTTCCTCATTTTAAATCCGGAACAAAATCCGTTCTGTAGTTACGAATAAAAACAAAGATAGACTCAACGCAACGTCGATTTTGGTTTTATATGAGATATAAAGCTTGTGTCTAAAGCCTTAGTATTAATTGATTTATTTATATTATTTATAGCTGTTCCCTACTATATCCATACCATATCGCTACTTGGCTCGCGTAATGGTTTTTTATGTTTTTGCGTGGAACCCTAATTCTTTTTCTAAAATAAAAGTAGCCTAAGTTACTCCTTATGAAATCAGCTATCTGCCAGTGAAAGTCCCGTCAAAATCGGTTCAGCCGTTTCAGAGATTAGCCGGAACAAACAGACAGACAGACAGACAGAGAGCAGACAAAAATTTTAAAAATTGTATTTAAGTTATAAGTACCGTATTTACTTTCATATGCATTTAGTAAAAAACTGTAATTTTGACATTACAAACAGACCCACCAATTTTATTTATTTGTATAGATTAATATGATACATAAATATAATGGATGTTACGTAGAATTGGGTATAGCATATATATATATATATATATATATATATATATCGATCTTTTGTCACACTGCCTTATCTCTGTTATTAGTTCCGTGGACGTTCACTTCTGCTGTCAGCGCCAAAATGGCGAAAATCAAATCGCCTCATTATGTCAAGATGTATAGCCAGTCCATATATAGAGGTCAGTGCTTCCTATAGAAGATACAAATTAAAGCAAACCTTCGTCTAGATCAAAATTTGAAATAAATAGGGGAAAACACAGTCGATCTTGTGGTACTCGTAAGTGGGTGTTGTGGCCCATAACCAGCTTCATCTATCCTCGATTAACACCCTTAAGGACTTAGATGAAATACCTCTTTTACAGTAAACCGGGTCTCCGGTTTTCGTCACGAAAGACATCAGCAATAACATATGCTATTTAAAACTAGTATAATATTCCCTGAGAACCTTCGAGCTGCAGCTATAATAAAACTGAATTGTGACGGGTAAATATTAAAATCGCATGTATGTTGGTGTAAATAACAGCCTAGATTACACATTATTAATATAAATGCCTTTTAATACAATCTATGTAGTTATTTAAGTTTTAGTCACGTAAGTTTACAATTGTCTAGTATGTAAAGCTTGTTAATGTTTTATTGCCTTTTATTTGAAGAATTGTTGTATGTCTTTATAGTGTTTGTTATATACTTAGTAATTATTGTCTGTATGCCTATAAAGAATTGTTGTATGTCGATAAATTGTGTGACAAATGTATGATTGTAAAATAAATGATAAATCACACCCAACGCACACCCCGCACTCCTCCCCTCCTATCCGTTCATTGGTCGAATAGAGCATGAGTGTCTCACATACGCCCACATGAGTTGTGCAACTAAAAGAACAAAATAAGATACACGCCATGACCGACCTCTGACATTACTCGCTCATCACTCGCTCTTTACTCGTTCAACAATCATCTCCTTATAACGCCACGCTGGCCCACAAGCTACACTCCACAAAGCTCTTGTTTCTTATACAAAGAATAGTTTTATTTAACTTCACATAACACCTACAGTCAAGAAGAAGTCTACGTCTGAACGATACGGAGCCCTGCAGAAAAGCTCCCACTTCGTTTAGTTGGATTATTTTTGTGTAACAACTGGAAAGTTATAATATTACTTAACAGTCGGTTCCCGGTTTATCGGTTTTCTGACTGCTGATCATGAGATCCCGGGTTCGAATCCAGGATCGGGACAAAATCATTTATTAGGTTTATCTTTCAAGAAATTCTCAGTAGAAGCTCAGTGTCTGGAATTTGGAGGTGTTTTAACTCCCATGCCTTGTAAAGCACGTACAGCCGTTGGCTCTACGCCTGAACTCTCTCTAATTGTATGGGATTACCGACACATCGGAATATGAGAGTGAGGGAATAGAGTGCACCTATGCTTGCACTATAATCCCGTCCTGCACAGTTGGTAGTTCCATTTAATCTGGCCGCCGTGACCGAAATTCGGTCTGGAGGACGTTACTTAACAACCATTCCGTCCAACTTACCTAGATCAAATTCATCCGTAACATCGCCCTCTATTTCCTCAGACATGTCATTTTCTATCTCCATCTTAATGTTACTGTCTATTTCGTGATCAGTCTCAAATTGTTTCCTAAACTGCTCCAATCTGTTCCAATTTTTGCTCAACTGAAAGAAATTATCACCAACGCGACCTATCAAGCAGCTCGCATCCACAACCCGACTCTTGATGATCATATTGCTCAACAACGTTTGACACTTACTAGCCATGTCAATATATTTTAATGAAAAACCATATTGCTCATGCGAGTAACTGTATTCGGCCAACGTTGCGTACGCGAGACAAATTTTTTCGTATAACAATGTCTTTAAATGCAATTTCCACGCGAAATTGTCGTCGCGGCTAGGTTCGTGCCACGACGCCATCTTGTTCTCTTTGCGAATCAAAATGGCGTTCTTGTCAATGTTCGAGTTCGTCTCTATTAAGAAGTTGCCGGACTTTTCTGTGGATTTTCTTTCACGTTTCCGGCGTCTGCTTCTCGATACGTGCTCCTTTGGATCTTGATTCTTTTTGTTCAATGGTTCGTAATTCATTTTGATCGGCTCGTGCGGATTTGCCATTTTCGGATGTTGTTCTTCTATTATTATTTGCTGTTTCAGCCGTTCTCGTTCCTCCACCTGTCAGCAAAAATAAATACCTATTTACTGCAAGTAATATTTTGAGGACCCGATATCACCACATTAGTATTGTCTTATGTACCATGGAGGCAGTTTACATATTACATCAATTGCACAAGGACAAACATGGACATGAATAATCTCGAAACAATTATCGGCCATGCTTTTTTTCATTCTTTTAATTCTTAAATTGACACCGTATGTCACAACTCACAATATACACAATATTCAATAAAATCTATGTTCATATATACAACTTTATTTAGGGTTTTCTGCAATTATCTCGGTGGCAACATTATTTAAAACTTGGAAAAAAAATAATTCATTGACCTGGCAAAATTTTTGGCATTATAAAATAAAAAATGTCGCTTATGAAGAAACAAGTGACACTCAGCAAGGTAAAATCCTTTGTTTTTTTTTTAATTTTGACTGTGTTTTATGCATGTTACAGTGTTATTCTGTTCAAATGTCAATAAATACTAATGCATGCAAATTTTCACAAAAGCAACAATATAACATACTTTTATTCAGCATCTAACTTTTTGTATTTTACCATATACACTGCCAATTTCATAGAAAGTTATCGCTAAATTTGCTTGTATGTCACGTTATACATTACCAATTTGAGGTTATGTTTTTTTGTGTGTTTTGTTGCGTGACACGCATGTATTTGCTCAGGCGTTTGTGTTTTTTTTTTTTGCCGTCAGTAAAAACTACTAACATTTATAATAGATAGAATTATTGCACTTGTGCATGCTAAAAAACCTCTTTCCGAGTGTTACAAAATATCTGATGCCGAAGAACTCATAACGAATGCCACATCGTATTGTTCTTCGCCACCTCTCTCTATTGATTGTTCTCTAGAAAGATGCATAGCATATTGTGAAGAGGATAGAGACAATGATCAAAACCAAAGTATCCGTCAAACAACTATAATTCATGAAATTTATCCTAGCTACCAAGAATAAACCAGCTATTGCTGCGACAATTTTTATTCTAGTTCCGAACTATTTTCTATATTGAGAGAAAATTACGGGGTATATGGACATGGGATAATATGAAGCAATCGATTTAGAGGCGCAGATATTATTTTACCGTCGGAAAATGATTTAAAAAAAAAAGCTTCGAGGTAGTTATGGCGCAGTAGTTTACAACAAAAACCCTGTTCGTGATAACAAACTGGTTAAGCTTCTACGTCGGGGCCCAACCATGGGTTCATAAAATTAAAAGGTATTGCAGGGAATCGCGTAGTAAAAAATATGTAGACACTGTCCGCAGATCGTGAAGGAATATAATAAGCATATTGGAGGGATGGACCTTGGGGATATGTTTATCTATTTATACAAGACTCCTTTCAAAACCCGTCGCTGGTACTTTGGAACCTTTGCTCGGTTTTATACAGATAAGACCAGACCACAATATCCTCCCAGGCTCCAGTCTTTGAAAAATTTCTGATTTGATATTTATGAAGGTTTGCAAAAAACAGGTAGATCTGAGGGTACAGTAGAAAACGGAAAAAAACAGACTACAATCCTGTGGTGTGCAGACTACAACCTTGTTGACTGGCAGTGACTGCTTTTAGCATAAGTCCGCCTCTTGATCCGTACCGTTTGTAAGGTTCAATAAAAATGAAATAAACAAATAAATAATTAGAGAGCACGTTTGTGCAGAGCTGAGATGACCTTGTCCTTGTGTATGGTGACGTGGTGTAGCGCGGTCAGCCCGCGCAGCGCGTGCGCCAGCGCGCGCCCGCAGCGCTCCGGCGCGCCCGCGCCCGCGCCCGCGCCCGCGCCCGCGCCCGCCCCCGCACCCGCCGCCCCCGACCCCGCACCCACCCCCGCACCGTCACTCGACTTCGCCTTCTCCTCCTGCGCAACATACAACAAACTCTTTAATGTTTCTTCGATCATGTTATGCTAAACTAAAAACATTATAAATCCGTCCATTTCAACATTTGAAAGTCTACTACGTAACAAAGGCCTTCCATATAGATTGCTAGATAGGGAAGATTTTGTCATAATTTTCTTATAATTTTAATTTGTTTTCAGCAGAATACTGCTGCCCACATCCTGTTTCAATTTCCCTCTATCGCCTCTTACGAAACACACGGGACGATATAGGATACTAAATATTCTAATTAAATTAAAAAAAATTAAATGACAATCACTAGAATATGACAAAGTAAATAATACTACATCTTCATCATCAACATCACATTACAGCCTTTCATAAGTCCACTGCTGAACATAGGCCTCCCCCAAGGAATGCCACAAAGCAAGGTCCTGAGCCACCTGCATCCATCGACTTCCTGCATGTCTTACCAGGTCGTCGCTCCAACTCGTGGGGGGTCGCCCTACACTTCGCCTACCGGTACGAAGCTGCCACTCAAGAACCTTTTTTCCCCATCGGTTGTCAATTCTTCGAGCTATATGGCCGGCCCACTTCAGCTTACTAATCCGTTGGGCTATGTCGGTTACTCTGGTTCTACTACGGATATACTCATTTCTAAGTTTATCACGCAAAGAAACCCCGAGCTATGTTCGAGGTTTCTCTGCGTGATAAACTCCCTCTCCAAAGCTCGCTGAGCGACCTTGAGCTTCCTCATACGGCCAGCAGTGAAGGACCCGTAAGTCATCACTGGCAACACACACTGGTTGTACAATTTCGTTTTAAGGTTTTGAGGTATGTCTGACGAGAAGATGTGTCGTAGTTTCCCGAACGCTGCCCAGCCGAGTTGAATCCGTCAATTGACCTCTCGGTCGAAGTTGGACTTACCTAGTCGGACTATTCGCTTTGTCCATGTTCATCCTAAGACCTATTCGTTGGGAGACACTATTGAGGTCATTGAGCATGGTACTTAGGTCCTCCAGCGATTCTGCCATAAGGGCTATATAGTCGGCAAATCGAAGGTGAGTGATGTACTCGCCATTGATGTTAATACCGTATCATTTCCAGTCCAGAAGCTTGAAAACGTCTTCCAATGCAGCAGTGAAGAGTTTCGGGGATATAACATCACCCTGTCTTACACCTCTCTGCTATTGGATAGGCTTCGTACTCTGGTTCTGTACTCGGATAGCCATCGTAGCTCTACTGTACAAACACTTCAGCACTTCGATATACCGACAGTCAACTTGGCAGCGCTGAAGGGACTGCAGCACCGCCCAAATTTTAACGGAATCAAAGGCTTTCTCATAGTCCACATACGCCAGACATAGTGGCAAATTGTACTCTTCGGACTTCTGTACAATTTGCCGAAGGGTATGTATGTGGTCTATGGTGCTAAAACCCTTTCGGAAACCGGCTTGTTCGAGAGGCTGGAAGTCGTCTAGTCTGCGCGCGAGACGATTCGTAACTACTATAGAAAACAGCATCTAGACGCGGCTCAGAAGGGAAATCGGTCTGTAGTTCTTCACGAGAGCGTTGTCACCTTTCAAGCCAAGCAAAAACAAGACCACCGCACTTCTGCTCCATGCCTCCGGTGTAATGCCACCATGGAGGACGGAATTAAAGAGCTTCTGAAGGACTTCAAGTACCGGTCTTCCACCCGCTTTCAGAAGCTCCGCTGTAATTCCATCCTCGCCTGGGGCCTTGCCGTTTTTAAGGTGCTGGAGAGCCATTCTAATCTCGCTCAGACTGACGTCCGGGATATCTTCGGAATAGTGTCGGATAAGACTCGCTCTTGGATCGCTGCTCACACTTGCGTGTGGCTCCGACGATGACGTGTACAGCTGCCCATAGAAACTATCAATCTCACTCAAAATCTCAGGTGCCCCGGAAACGATGCTGCCACACTCGGTCTTCAGCTTTGACAGTTGGCCCTTTCTGGCAGACAGATCTCTGGCAAAGACTTTGGAGCCTTGGTTCCGCTCGATCGCTTCTTCAATACAAGCTGTATTGAAGTTGAGTAAGTCCCACCGCATGCATTTGGAGATCTGTCTGTTCAGTTGCCTGTATGCTGTCAAATCTGTTGAAGAATGTAGCTTCATCTCACGTCTAACAGCCATGAGATTGAGAGTATGATCGGAGTGTTTGTGTTCTTCTGCGGCGGGTCTTGCAGAACTTAGCTCCGACCGCGTGGACAGTTCCACGAGCTTGTCATTCATATCGTCCACTTCATTGCAGTCTTCTAGGCACTGAAAACGGTTTTGTAACTCGAGCTGAAAGGTTTCGGGACTTTGAAACAGAGCACGACGGGGACGGAGCGTTGACTTCTTTAGACGAGACATCTCCAACTTAACGTTTAGGTTCAGTGTGCCTCTAACCATTCGGTGATCGCTACCAGTTTTCACCCTCGCGATCACGGAGACATCACTGAACATTTGTCGTCTGGTCGTCATAACGAAGTCAATCTCATTTTTTGTGGAACCGTCGGGGCTCGACCAGGTCCACTTCCTGTGGGGCCGCTTCTGGAAGAAAGAGTTCATTATAAGAGTCCCTCTTTCTCCATGAATTCGGCCAGCTACTGGCCCCTTGGGTTCCGTTGCCCTATTCCAAATTTCCCTACTTTCAGCTCACCGTTCTCTCTTGTGCCTAGTTTTGCATTGAAGTCTCCCATTAACACCGTATATTGGGTTTTGGAGGAATGCATGGCTCTAGATATATCCTAATACATTTCCTCCACCTCCTCATCGGGGTGTGCCGAGATTGGTGCGTAAACCTGTATGACCTTCAGCGAATACCGTTTAGTGATTCTGAGTATAAGGTACGCAACCCTCGTCGACACACTCTCAATCTTTACAACGTTGTTAACGAGAGACTTGTGGACGATAAATTCGACACCTCCTTGGGACAGATGGTCGCCCTCTCGGTGATAGAGCAAGTAGCCGGATTCGAGGATTACCGTGTCCTCCCCCTCTCTTCGGACTTCGGATTATCCTATAATATGCCAGCGTAACTTGTCTATCTTTTCTTCCAGTTCCACGATCTTCTCGTCAGTGCTCAGGGTGCGTGCATTGTATGTTGTCAGGTCGAGTGTGGCAACCGAACCTCCACCGGAGATTTTTAGCACCCCCTGCCCCGCCGTTACCATGGTCGCCACCGTTTTTTTGTTACTCTCAACATAGAGGGGTATTTGCCATAGTTGCCACGCTTGGCGAGCGGGTTGGCAACCGCAGTTTTTTTATTGTAATTTTTTTTATAGCATAAGGGTGACAAACGAGCACACAGTCCACCTGATGGTAAGTGGTTGCTGCGGCCCATAGACATCTACATCTATCCTCGCTTGCGAATCAAAATGCAGATGCATTGCCACCCGTGAGGACTAAGATGGAATTCTGCATTTCCAGTAAAAAGGACCTCCGGCCACCTGCACTCACCAAGCGAAACGCAGAGGTAAACCCCTACTTCACACTGGTATTCTGTGAGGTCGTGGTACCACCCCGATTCGAGCCGGTCCATCTGTGCGACAGCAAAAGCTGCCGCGTGGCTATACCACTGTCTAAAGTTTGTTGTTATCAGGAAGATGCTGCTGCCCATCTCCTGCCTGTTTCCCTTTGTCGCCTTTTACGACACCCACGGGAAGATATGGGGTAGTGGATATTCTTAACCGCCACTACACGGCTACTATATCTAAATTAGTAAATTTAATCAATTATTAACATTAAATCAATGTTAATAATTTGCATTTAAATACCACTAAAACGAAATGTATGAAATTCATAACTGCTATATAATAACAAACATTTAAATACTAATATAATTTTAAATAAGGAGGAACTGAGTCTTGTCGATACCACCATTTTTCTTGGAATCACACTAGACGCGAAGCTTCAATGGGGGCCCACATATATCAAATCTAGCAAAAAAAAAAGTTAGTTCTGCACCATATGCTATAATTTATTTTTTTAAATCTTACCAATATTGAAACAGCTAATCTAATTATTTTAGCTATTTCCATAGCTTAATGTCGTATGGTATTTTGCTATGGGGACAATCGACTGACAATGAAATTATATTTGTTTTACAGAAGAAGGCCGTATGAACAATCTTACGATTTAAAACCTAAAAAATCGCTTCAACAAAAATTTAAGAAAATTAATATATTAACTTTGACCTCTCAACACATTTATGAAAATGTACATACACAAAAATAAAAGTAGTTATACAAAAATAAGTGATATTCATTCTGTAAATACTAGGAACAGACACAAGCTAGTAGTACGAGTTACTCGACTCCACAGAGTCAGTAATTCATTCTTGGGGCGATGTATACGCTTTTACAACAAAATCCCAGAAAATATACAAAAATTTGAACTGCTCAAAGTTCAAAAACTTTATTGAACTAAGTTTGTATAATAAAGGCTATTATAATATTAAGAAATTTATGGATGATAATAACCCCTGCGAATGAGGTAATCGCTACCAAGTTATTTCTAATATGTTTTGTGTTGTTAATTGCGTAACATACGAGTACATGATTGTCAGGTATTTAAAGTCCCGCTGGGTTTCTTGCTGGTTCATCCAGGAAAGAGTTATTTTCCGAACCAGTGGTAGGGTAAGCAGTATAATGATTGGCACTTTAAGCGGATTTCTACTTGTAAGTGGTTAATTCTCGTAAATAAACAAATTTGTTATATTTTTTATTGTTTTGTTGGATTTTAGTTTAGATAGCCATAAATAAAATAACGCATTACGTTTAAAAAGAAATGTTTAATTAACTTAAAAATCTAATTAAACTTTTTTCTAGGGAATATTACAATCATTGGCACTTTAGCATAGTGAATGGCACTGTAAATTAAGTGTAATCATTGGCACCAATGGAAGTCTTAAAAAGTTATACCCAGATCTTTTTAAACTCTATCTTATTGTTATAAGACTTATTTTGAACAAATCTTCTTCAAAAATGATCCTTAGATCTTCATCTAAAAGCGGTTTCGTTGGTCTACCATGGCCTTTTTCTTTCTTCGTATACATTTTTGATGTGACTTTTTTAGTAAAACCTTTCGTGTTTTCTCGACATTTTGTAGAAATAGAACTTCATTTCGATTAAACATTTAGAGAGTATTATAATGTCAGAGTCGGATTCGTTCGTCGTGTTTTGTTTATCAGTTTGTTTCTATATTTGGCTGACTAATTTAATTCTGCATTTTCCAATTTTTCCCATTATTTTTTTAGCTCCGCTGCTTCCGAATCTTCACTTGTTGTGGTTTAAGAAATTTATTCCTCAAAAGAATACAATTCACTTATCATGAGAAATAACAAGTTAATCTTAAATACTAAATACATGAACTTATGAAGAACGGCAGGTACTCGTAAATGATCTATTATTTACCTGGGCATGCACAATCTTCTTGCAATAATATGATATGAATAATGTGTTAGCACAAAATAACGACGTTGTATACCTGCTTTTTGCTTTTTGATACGTATTTGGCAATGGAAAAAGCTCTATAAATATTTTTAGGGCTTTCTAAAAGATTTATGTTTGTTTCGACATCCACGATCACCCATTCACCTACAACAAATTCTCAATTAGTTGATGAAAAACATAAGGGTTTTCTTTCTGATACTCAACAATAATCTCTGCAGGTTGTATACGCTCTGGTACTGAAAACCATTATTAAGTGAAAGGATACAAGGCAAATTTGATACAGGTATTTCTGATTCAGTCGTTATTAGTCGTTATTCGTCGTTAAAATATTTGGTAATTCGTCGTAATGGCACGAAACGGTGATCATCTAAATAGACTTGCTGTGATTTCGAGGGCATCGGACACTTTGTTTAATCCACTTCGTCTAGACTAAATGGCCACAACCCACATGTCTCAAAACCATTTCATAATGTAGATTTATTTCAATACGGTAAGTCTTGCTAAAATAGGCCCGCATCTGTTTTAGTAACCTTTTTGTCAAATTGTTTGTCCGTCATTCGAAGACAAGTTTACCCCACATATTTTTGGTGGGCCGAAATGTAATGTAATCAGCTGGTTGCAATAGTCGCGTTGCATTCAGGTTAAGGGCTATACGTATTATAGCGAGACTTGGGCAAAGTTGCGTCGTATTTAGATAGTAAATAACCCTCTCTCTAGGCACTAACTTTTGAACGACTGATCACATTTTCTATAGGGGGAAAATAATAGGTTTTACCGTCTACTCCAAAGAACAATGATGCAAGACTTCGATTAGGCATGATCCACCTCATAGACGTTTTATTCTCCCTCTATAAAACGCTTTCGTATGTATGGGGTGTTTATTCAAAAACCTCACATCATTGATATTTTTATGACATCGAAAACTGTGCCAGGAGTTGGTCGGCTTTTCAGCTTCTTAGTTTTTTTTACTTTACTTATTTAGTGGGAACTGTAAATTCGCGCGTGGAATGTTAAATGTTAGGGCGGCAGTTATTTTTCTAAAGCGCCCGCTCCTAATAGCAGTATTCTTCATCAATTCAAAATGTGAAAAAGATCAGTCGTAATCATTGGCACCACTCAAAGGATACAGCCATTGGCAGTGTCAAGAATAGATTTTGGACAAAAGAAAGTATAGTGATTGACATATATGCCAATGATTATGTAGTCAAACAAAGTAAAGTATAGTCATTGGCACAATTAAAAAAAACCGCTGCTTCTTTTTCACAACAATAAAATAACGTTTAATATGCTTTAATGACGTAAATTGATAAAAATAGAAAGAAACATTTTTGTCTCAAAATATAGCCACAAAACCTTAACTTTTTGTTAAATTTTAACGGATTTGTCCACACACATTTTTAAAACAGCCCTTATAGGAAAATAGTTGACGCTTTAAATATAAATGTGTATTGTTAGTATATGTAATTATATTATATAATTATATCATACGTGGTAGAGCCATGCTGCAGCTATATTAGTAGTATAGTTGTAGCACGAATGGGTCGGCTCGACCGGGGAAGGACCACGCTCTCACAGAATATCAACGTAAAATAGCAGCTTAACGCTGTTGTGTTTCGTATGGTGAGTGTAGAGAACCGGAGACCCTTTTTACTGGAAAAGAGGCATTCCATCTTAGTCCTCACGGGTGACAACGCATCTGCATTTTGATTCTTTATTGATGATAAATGTAGATGTCTATGGGTCACAGCATCCACTTACCATCAGGTGGAGTGTGTGCTCGTTTGTCACTCTATCCTATAAAAAAAGTAATCATATATCTTAGCAATATCTGTGTAGCTGTGAGAAGAAGGAAAACATTCTTAATATTAAGATTAAAATAGAAAAGTGCCAATCATTGAAGGAGTGCCAACATTACTACCGTTTGCTCTAGTTATACAAAAGTGTGACTTTCAATAAGTATTATTCATAATCTATTTTCAATAAAAAAAGTTTCTGTTTCTTATATAACCACATGCTTGTATTAAATATATATCTTTATATATAAAAATTACGTGTCACATTGTTTGTCCGCGATGGACTCCTAAGCTACTAAACTGATTTCAATGAAATTTTGCACACTGTGTGCAGTTTGGTCCAACTTGAAAGATAGGATAGTTTTTATCCCAATAAGTGACCCTCAATTTTTTATTGCTAATCTCAGGAGGTTTTTTAGGAAAGCAAATGGTCGTCGGAAAGGGCAGAACAACGTCTGCCTGGTCAGCTAGTATAATCTAGACTGACCTAGTGCCTTGAAGCAAGAAATTGCCACCGGGGACGCCACAGGAGAATACCGCCTCCGGGGCAGCATCATGTCATCTGGTTCAGGCCACCTAAACACAGACACTCCCAAACACCACTTACATGCACTACACCTTCAGCCTGACAGATCCTGGTGACCAGTCTCCGCTCCCGAAGCAGGTAAGTACCTTAGTAGTTAAATACTCTCTATTCGACTGGCCTTCCCCTTAAAGTGTAGTAGGATAGAACATTTCCATAAGGCCACAAGGGCACGAACCCTCTGTTGCTCATCGAGTGGATCACTCCTGGGCCCGGGTCCAGTCGACTTTTGTTGGGGCAACTGAGGGCCGTATCAATTGGATTTTCAATAATGTAGTCAAAATGAATGTCTCTTTCAAAGTCATCCATAATAATTTTCTTTGTTTTCTCCACCACTTTTGCCCAATTATGCTTTGTGACATGGGCACATGCTTCATTCAGCAAATTCTTCACAAAATATAAAATATTTTCATCTCGTGTGTGTTTAAGTAGAGTTAATAATATGTTTGCATTAAGAACATTTCATATAATAACTAGCCCTTGATTTGGACCAAAATCAATTCAATAGCATTATAGTGGCAGTCGTATACCACCATACCAGTCTTGTGATATTCGCAGGAATATTTTGTAAAAGGGTTACTACTCTTTCAATTTTTCTGCATCCATTTCCTCATCGTATTCTCTTGTTACTCTTTGATTGGAAAGCTAATAAACAATTTTCTACAAAGCCTTTTCCGGCGGATCCGGCATCACCTTTTTCCACCGGTACCTTCAAGCAAAATGCTGCAGTGTCATCGTTTCATCAACGAATATGACGTTGTCCCAATTGGTTATATTATTCATTTCTTTTAAAAATTTTATTCTTTGCAAGGCTCATGTTCATGCCTCTCCACAATTATTATGCGTTTATCAATTTTTGTATCGGAAGCGCATGAGTTTTAAAATGGTTCTCAATAACTATACTAACATTGTTTAAACCGCCATCTACTAAACTTTCTTGCAACTAAGCCGCAGTATGATATTCTTATATAGATAATACCATAAATAATAATATTTGATATTGTTATTTATGATATTCCAGTATATAACTTGCCAAGGTCGACGAATATAGTAGAATCAATCCAAAAAGTTATAGCCGAGTCACAAAACACAAAATCACAAAAATACGCACAGTAAGCTCCCTAAATGGCGGGAGATTGGAATTACGTAGTGTTAATTCAGCGCGGCTTTATGATTTTCTTTGCCTACACAAATTCACACTGACAAAGTCGGAAATTATAAAATAAATAAACTTGTTTTATTCATGATTCATATAATTTAAGCAATTATAAAAATTAAATTTAAATAAACAACTAATAAATTAAAACATTTCAAGATTCGATTAAATGAAACATTTTTACCGATCATTTGAATATTTTTACGGATTATTTGCAGAACAATGAATTTTAATCATTCAAACACTACGGTAAGATACATAGCGACATGTCATTGAAACATCAGGCAAAAAGTTGACTTTGGTTAAATTTTTTCTTTGTATTTACGTAAAAGGTTATTTTAAATCATGTGAGTATGCTTGTACAAAGTTATTGCGGAAAGATTAATGTGAAACGTCAACTGGTATTTCTTAAATTTGGTTGAGTATAGTCAGTATATTCGTCATACTCATACTATTATATATAAAGCAAACTATGGGGGAGGCTTATATTCAGAAGTGGACTTTTGATGAGCTGTAATGAATGTTATAGAGAAATAAAGAAAAAGAGAAGGAGAGAGAGATTGACAGTCGTATGAAAAGTGTACAGCACTAACCGGTGCAGCGTCACGCATGCGGTCACCAATATGCCGCAGCGCCAACGCCCGCCCACCAGCCTGGACCTCCTCCCTCTCCCCTGCCTCCTTCGTCTCGCACACTTCCTCCTCCTGGATAATACAAATACTTTTGGAATGGAATTGGACAAATATTTATATCAACAATTACATACAGAATAAGCCACCAAAATCTATCACACGAATAATGTCAGACGGAATAAAGAATCAAGCACAAACTGGATTTTAACAAGAGGTGTCAATTAGTACACCACCTGTAGCGTTTCGCGTCTATAAATTTCTTTTATATTTATATATCTTTATTTATTTTTATTCACATAGGCCGTGTAGTGGCGGTGTAAGAATATCCACTATCATCCCGTGGGTGTCGTAAGAGGCGACAAATGGAAACAAACCAGGAGACGGGCAGCAGTGTTTTTCTGTTAACAACTCAATATTTTAAATAACTGCGGTTGCCAACCGTCTGCCAAGCATAGCAACTATGGTAAAATTCCCCCTATGAGGCAATCTATGGGGAGAGGCCTATGTTAAGTAGTGGACTTTTATAGGCTGTAATGAATGGATGGATGAACATCTTACAAGCGCTCTTGAATAATCAATTACAATAAAATATAGAAACTAATAATTACAATTTAAATCGATGTCTAACATATAATTATACAAGCTGTTCCCTGCGACTACGTCTGCGTGGAATTTATTACGATTGAATGTTATGGGTTTTAATAATTTTGCACGGAACCCTAATTCTTTTTCTAAAATAGAAGCAGCCTAATTTACTCCTTATAACAATAGCGACCTGCCACATATTACAAACAGACACTGAACCACGCTCTCACAGTATACCAGCATAAAATAGCAGCGTTGAACTGGAGCTGTGTTGTGTGTTGTGGGGAGTAGAGTAGAGTAGAGTAGAGAACCGGAGACCCATTATATTAAATAAGAGGCATTTCATCTTAGTCCTCACAGATGACATTTTGATTCGTAAGTCTATGCGCCACAGCAACCACTTACCATCAGGTGGACTGTGTGCTCGTTTGTCACCCTATCCTATAAAAAAGAAACTACTACAATTTTATAATACTACAATACAATTTGTTTCAATATGTCTGTTGTCGACTTTCAAATTATTATAAGTGACTATCAAATGATAATGAAATACACAGTTTAATAAATAACTTACTAGCATAGGCTCCCAATAAATTCCTTTTAACAAAATTACGCAAAAGAAATATTCTTTTTTTACGCCAGTAAAAATTAACTAAAATAAGAGCACATTTTAAACTTTAAGGTTAGTGATTTATAAACTAAAATTAGTGATTGTACGTAGGTATATTGCAAAAAAATAAAAATAAAAAAATTACATCGGTACAAATATAGAAACCACACCTTATCAGAATGATCACTCGTAATTTCAACTCTGTCACAGGCTTCCTTGTCGCTGGTGTTGTCCCGCTCGCTCGCACTGCCAGCGTCGTCTCCGTCGCACACGGTGCACGTGTTGTCTCTGTCGTTCGCGTTTTCAGTATCACTCGCGGCGTCTTTTGCAAACTCCGCGTAGTTCCCAAATTCACCTTCGTCTTCCGAATCGGAGCTTTCGTCTGGGGATAATTAATCCATTATACATAATATTATGACTTAATTAACTATTTATTTCAAGTTTGGAGAAATACGTGACGAGAAGTTGTTTTAAGTGGTAGAGCCACGTTTTAGGTGAAGAGTTTTTTACGTGGTAGAGCCATGCTGCAGCTATATTAGTAGCATAGTTGTAGCACGAATGGGCCGACTCGACCAGGGAAGGACCACGCTCTCACAGAATACCAGCATAAAATAGCAGCTTGACACTGCTGTGTTTCGTATGGTGAGTGTAGAGAACCGGAGACCCATTTTACTGGAAAAGAGGCATTCCATATTAGTCCTCACGGGTGACGACGTTCTGCATTTTGATTCTCTATTAAGTATAAATGTAGATGTCTATGGGTCACAGCAACCATTTACCATCAGGTGGGCTGTGCGCTCGTTTGTCAACCTATCCTATAAAAAAAAGAGAAGATATATCGTCTGAACGCTACCCAGCCGATTTGTATTATGTGTGAAGGGCTTATATCCTCTCAGTAAAACCAGAGTAACCGACATAACACAATGAATGAGTATGCCGATCAGCAGTGTACTTGAGAGGGTCTGTAATTATGGTGAAAGGAAAACTCAAAGGCTGCGTCAGCCCGTAAACAAGAGATATCATGATCTAGCAGCATTTTTAGCTTTTTTTTTGGTTTTTTGGACATCATTACTATCTTTAATCTGTGAAAATAAGTATTAATAAAATAAAACTAAAGAAAACTCTTCCTCACCTTTAAAATCCGGACATGCCGGATTAGTTGTCGCTGGCACGTACAGATCGGCGAGCATGTAATGAGACGACGCGACTATTTGAGGATACCGCTCCACTTTGAGCAACTTCACAACATGCTCCAACAAGTTCTTGACGTGTTTCGACCTGTTCGTCAATCGCATATTCCTCGCGACGCGATATAGCAACATTGCTACGGGAGTGGTGAACGGGTTGTCCATACTGTCTGGGCACAGAGACGTCAAGTCGTACAACTTGACCACATCGTCATGTGGCCCCTTGAACAGCCAATAAGTGTGCCCAGCTTTGGTAACGTTGGATTTAAGAAAGGAAAGAATATTTTGAGCGACGTTCCTTATGACTTTAGGAGAAAATCTAGAGTTTTCCATATTTGGCAGGTCCTCGGTTTTCATAGGTTCATATTTCTGGACAATACCATCTAGATGGTAACACATGAGGACTTCGGGAACGTTACACATTAAGTTATCAAGCCAGTAGTCTATCCCGGTGAGGACATTGATGGGTTCCCTCGCATCCCTCAAGCGAAGGCTGACACAAGGCCTGTCCTTATCCCCAAATATAGGGAGATCGCTACCCACCAACATGTGGATATCTTCAAAGGTCCAGAGAACGTTTCTATTGTAGAGGTGCTCATTGGGCGGGCCTTCCACTTTTGTTTCAGGTTCCGGTAGAAATGGTCCTGGATATAAAAAAAATATATCTATAATGGTTTTTTTTTTGCTTATTCTAAGCGAATGCTCGTCTACAACTACTTACCCACCTGGTGGTAAGTGATGATGAGGCATTTTGTTCGTTTTTATTTATCCATGTGTAGTGGTTGTGTATCCTTACACAGCCACAGACTGTAGCGAAACCCAGATTAACACGCAATAAGGTGATGCTGTGTGTATGGTGGGATTGGAAGGGCATCGTTTATTATGAGATTTTACTGCCAGGCAAAACCATCAATTCGAATCTCGACTGCCAACAACTAATGAGACTCAAGCAAGAAATTGAGAAAAAACGGCCGTAATCAACCAACAGAAAAGGAGTGGTATTTCATCATGATAACGCCAGACCACACACATCTTTGGCCACTCGGGAAAAATTGAGAGAGCTTGGTTGGGAAGTGTTAATGTATCCACCATATAGTCCTGACCATGTACCTCAGATTTTCACCTGTTTCGGTCTCTTAAGAATTCTTTGGGTAGTGTTAGGTTCAAACCTGTGAAAACTAGTTGTCGCATTTTTTGATCAAAAATCCTAAGACTTTTCTACAGCAACGGGATTATGTTACTACCTACAAGATGGCAACAAATTATCGAACAAAATGGCACTTATATGTTATTAATTAAATGTAATTAATCTTTGAAAAAAGAATGCCTTGAATTTGTATATAAAATACGAAGAAACTTTTTCCCCGATCTAATAATTTATTAAGAATTATTATTACAGTGGTAGAGCCACGCGGCAGCTTTTGCTGTCGCACGGATGGGCCGGCTCGAACCGGGGTGGTACCACGACCTCACAGAAAACCAGCGTGAAGTAGAGGTTTACCTCTGCGTTTCGCTTGGTGAGTGCAGGTGGCCGGAGGCCCTTTTTACTGGTAATGAGGCATTCCATCTAAGTCCTCACGGGTGACAACGCATCTACATTTTGACTTGTAATAAAGGATAGATGTAGATGTCTATGGGCCGCAGCAACCACTTACCATCGGGTGGACTGTGTGCTCGTTTGTCACCCTTATCCTATAAAAAAAAAATATACAACTATACAGCTTTTGCACAGTATCTCGTACAAAACCAATTAAAAATTCAAATACAGTAATTTAGTCAGAGGAATTTTTCACATACTATATTATATTGTGTAAATAATGTATTACAAAAAAGTTAATTTAGTTCTTATATCAAAATTAAAAAGGTAAACATTAGGCATTTACCTATGAAATTGCCGTTTTTTTTTTATGAAATAAGTTAACGTAATATTTTTTTTTTCTTTATTTTTTATTTCTATTAATGAAAGTAACCACCCATGCAATCGATGCATCTCACATTGAGTTCGTGGGACACTCATCTATCAAGCTTTTTAGGGTTCCGTACCCAAAGGGTAACCAACGGGACCCTATTACTAAGCCTCCGCTATCTATATGCATCTGTCTGTCAGCGGGCTGTCTCATGATCCGTAATAGGTAGACAGTCGAAATTTTCACAGCATGTGTATTTCTGTCGCCGCTATAACAACAAATAATAAATTAAAGGGACCCGCCAACTAGAAACGTGTTTTTATGGTACGGAACCCTTCATTCGCGAGTCCGACTTGCACTTGGCCGGTTATTTACCTTGCAAATTTGACGTAAATAGACCAATATTGATTTGATGCTAACGTCGAAAGCTGCTGCTAATTCAGCCGTAGATGAAGTATCATCAGCTTCCACAATCGCCTTTAATTCGTCATTGTCGACCAAAGTTTTCGAACGACTCCGTAGTCGGTCGGTTCATTTTCAGGTCGAAATTTCCAGAACGGAAGCGGGCAAACCAATAACAGGTGGTACATTCGTTTGTAGTATTCGCTTCGTAAACGTCGTTGATTTTGCGTGTCGCTTGTGCCGCGTTGCTGTCACGGTACTCATATTCCATAATTACTCGTATTTTCAACGTATCCATGTTTACGAAAAAGATCCAATTACGATGAAAACATAACGGTAATCAATAAACTAATTTTGAAAAAAAGAATTCCATGTTCTTAGAACAAAATAAATTTGAAATTAGAATTCTTAGCCTAACAAAATTATTTATTTTTTGAAATGGCCAGTATTTCAGAAGGGCAATTTCATAGGTACCTATTATCCCAATAAAATGATTACAATATTTTAAACTACATAAACACAGCAAGTATAATCTAAAATATTTTTAAAGCGAAACTAGCAACAGTGCTTTCCTTATACTTTGTAGGCAGGAGTTTTGGCGGGAAATTGACCGGCGGCGGTTTGCTGCTCCTGTATTATTGTTTAAATAATGGTTTGAAGTGGACTTTGATATGTAAAAGTGTTGCGATTTTGTGTATTAAGTGTCTACGCATGTGAACTATTAGTGGAAACAGTGAAACAAGTGCTCTGATGGTGATGGATTCTCAAGATAAGCTGTTTGTTTGCATAGGCACCTTTAGATACCATCGCCAACTATCAGCTGTCTGCTGGATCAAGTTGCCGGCAAAATCTCCCAAGAACTGCACAATGTGACGCATCAACATATTGTGAAGCAGTATACTATGAAGGAGTGGGGAAATTACAATAAACCGAATAAAAATACTTAAGACTTGGTCTAGATACCAGGCCATAAACTCCAAAAAAAAAATACTTTGTAGGCAAAGTTTATTGAACCTAATGATCTTCGCCTAATGAATAGATATTCATCTACATCATATTATGTGAAAAATAATTTATAAAAATGCGGTTTTATGGCGCCATTAACCATTGAGAAGTGCGTTGCCGAGGGCTACGATTCTCGTACGGAACAAATGTGGGTCAGGTTTTTTGTTCTTGTATAATTTATGAAAACTGCCATCACTATACATTAGAAAATCCCAATGTAGGAGTAACGTTTTCAAGAGAAAAAAATCCTGTGGTAAAAAACGCTGTATGTTGATTTAGTCGAAATATTGATTGTATTTTACATGGCGCTACCGTCTATATACAGGTTGTTTGTGAAACGCTCTCAAAAACGAAGACACACGATAGTACTAACGATAACCATGATATAGTATTATTTGCAGGTGACACTTCTTTAATTTTCAAATTAAGTCGACAATTACTAAAATATGACGAAGTAAATAACGCTATATCTAAATTAGTAAATTGGTTCAATGTTAATAATTTGCATTTAAATGGCACTAAAACGAAATGCATGAAATTTATGACTCCAAATATCAAACAATTAAATACTAATGTAATTTTAAATGGGAAGATACCACCATTTTTCTTGGAATCACACTAGACGCGAAGCTTCAATGGAGCCCCCATATATCAAAACTAGCAAGCAGACTTAGTTCTGCAGCATAGGCCGTAAAAGAGATTAGAAGTCTAACTAGTGTTGAAACAGCTAGACTAGTTTACTTTAGCTATTTCCATAGCATAATGTCGTATGGTATTTTGCTAGGGGGACACGCAGCTGACACTGAAATTATATCTGTTTTACAGAAGAGGGCCATAAGAGCAATTTATGATTTAAAGGCTAAAGAGTCGCTGCGACAAAAATTTAAGGGAATTAATATATTAACTTTGGCCTCTCAATATATTTATGAAAATGTAATGTACGTACACAAAAATAAAAGTAGTTATACAAAAATAAGTGATATTCATTCTGTAAATACTAGGAATAGACACAAGCTAGTAGTACCATTTACTCGACTCCATCGATTCAGTAATTAATTCTTGGGGCGATGTATACACTTTTACAACAAAATTCCAGAAAATATACAAAATTTCACCTGCTCAGAGTTCCAAAACTTTATTAAACTAAGTTTGTATAAAGAGGGTTATTATAATATTAAAGAATTTATAGATGATAATAACCCCTGGAAATGAGGTGATCGCTACCAAGCTATTTCTAATTTGTTGTGTTGTTAATTTGTGTAACATCATGATTGTAAGCTGTTATTTAAAAAAAAATCCCGCTGGGTTTCTTGCTGGTTCTTCCCAGGACAGAGGTTTTTTTTCGAACCAATGGTAATTATACAAAAGAGTGACTTTCAATAAGTATTATTTATAATCTATATTGAATAAAAAAGATTCTGTTTCTGTTTCTGATACCTTTGATGAAGGGTCAAAAATAAAATCGACCCCGAGGAAAAAAATCATCTTTTCACAATGTTTTATTAGATTTATTCACGCTCCACCATGTTAGTACAGCTAAATGAAACGACAATTTCATTAAAAAAAAAAAACATTTTTTTTATAGGATAGGGTGACAAACGAGCACACAGTCTACCTGATGGTAAGTGGTTGCTGCGACCCAGACATCTACATTTATCCTCAATAAAGAATCAAAATGCAGTGTCGGTCGTCACCCGTGAGGACTAAATTGGAATGCCTCTTTTCTAGTAAAATGGGTCTTCGGTTCTCTACACTCACCATACGAAACACAGCAGCATTAAGCTGTGTCAAAATAAAGCAAAAAAAAAAGTATTAAAGTAAAAAATAAAGCATTATATTATACACAAAAATTGCCGAACTAAATCCGAAAATTAAATGTGGTGCAACGAAGATAATTAAAAAAAGAAGTCATTCGATATTCATAAGTAACCTAATAAAATTGTTATGTTTAGATTTCATGAAAAAAGGTTCTGACTTGGCCCGGGCTATCGATTTTCAAAATCCCCGCGTTTTCCCCGCATAACGGCGGCTCTTCACGTTGGCCAACACAATGGCGAATGTGTTGGCCCACAACGATGGCCATCGTGTAGAGCGGGTGTTTAAGCTACGTTGGTATGTATTGGAACGATGGCCCACAAGTTGGCGCGAGATCAGTGTGGTGTCGGTTTTTTGCAAAAGATCAAAGGGTTGTGGCAGAGAATTGGCCGTCGCGTCCACACGTTGGGCGCACGTTCAGTTTGCTACGAGCTCCCAGAGTGAATGCACGCACCTGATTTAAATTTTATATGCACGCATCGTAACTAGTGTCTACATAACGGCAGTAAGAATGACCAATGAAAAAACTTTTCGCTTTATAGAGCCCTACCAAGCCGAAAATTGTGTGTAAAACACAAGTCTTTTTAAAAAAAAATGTTATTATACACTAGGATTTTCTCCTGTATCGTGGAGGCAGTTTAGAAACATAAATTGCATAAGGACAAACATCCAGACCCGGAGAAATTATGTGCAGGCTATACAAATACTTGTTCCGTGCGGGATTCGAACCCGCGGCCCTCAGGGCAGCAACTCATTGCTAAGCCACTACGCCACGGAGCCGTCAAGAAATAAAATTTCTTTTTTCCATTTCTTTTTGATCAGCCTTATCTTATACACATTCACGTTGTAGTGATTAATTGTGTATTAATTTATTTATTGGTGTATTAATTTATTTATTGATGTATTAATTGATTTATTAAATGTCTTAAAATCTATAATATATAATATATATTAAAATCAAATTAAAAAGTAGGATACTAAAATCATGTTTTTACTGTCTTTATTATTCCCTATTAGTTACTTTATTTCGTTAATAATACTGTAATTTTTAGCTATGGAAGAGCGAAGTCACCTGTTACAGGCATTATTTTGCTTACTAGGTGACCTCGATCACTGATCATATAATGTAACTTTAATGTTTGACGAAATAAATTATTTATTATTATTATTAAGTTTTATTCCATAATTATATAATAAGAATAACCCTTTTTAAAAAGGTTTTGTTTAATAAAATTTGACAACAGTTTCATAGACAGGCTTCGAATATTTTCCAGGCCTTAGTTATAAAAGTGTTCATTATACCTATGCCTAGGTGTGTTAATGTTTATATAGTTCACTTATCTGTATAACGTTAGTGTATAATAAAGAAATATTAAAAATTTATATTAAAAATATTAAATATAAAAAATAGTGAAAATTAAATAAAAAATAGTGGTATGCTGTGAATAAATAAACCGCAGCAGCCGTTAGCGCATCAATAATCATTTTAATAAATTCGTCCGCACATTGGCCTGGACCGAAGCAAACTGAACGACCTTCCAACGTGTGGACGCGATCACAATTTCTTGGCCAATAACTCTGCCAACACATTCGCCACTGTGTTGGCCAACGTGAAGAGGCGCCATAATACCAATCCTCATAAAATCCCCAACCAACTTTAAATTCCCCGCAATTTGGGGAATTCCCCACATGTTGGCAACAGCGCGTGTGAAAGGGAAGGGTAGAGGAGTAATAACACCTAATGCATTGTTTCGTCCGTTACGTACCGAGCTACATAAAAGAGTTCGGCGTCCGAGCGAATATTGACCTAAGTGAGGTGATTTAAATTACACTGCAGGTATTATGTTTAAGTATTTTCATGATTTTTTTAATGAAATTATCGTTTGATTTAGCTGTACTAACATGATGGAGCGTGAATAAAGCTAATAAAACGTGAAAAGATGATTTTTTTTCCTCGGGATCGATTTTCTTTCTGACCCATCATCAAAGGTATCGTTAGTACTATCGTCTGTCTTGGTTTTCGGGAGCGTTTCACTAACAGCCGGTATCTAGCAAAATGATTTTGGTCCTCTAGTAACCGGATCGCTGGTGCATTAGATGTTGACTGACCTGCGAGGCACACGGGTGTGGTGTGGGTGCAGTCGGGCTGCAGCGGCTGCGTCGGGCGCTGCAGCACGCTGTGCGACTGAAACTGCTGCGTGAGCTGCACTAAATGTGGACTGATTTGCGAGGCACACGGGCGTGGTGTGGGTGCAGTCGGGCTGCAGCGGCTGCGGCAGACGCTGCAGCATTTTGTGCAACAGGAACTGCTGCGTGAGCTGCAGCGCTGGTACATTAGGTGTTGACTGACCTGCGAGGCACACGGGCAGGGTGCAGTCAGGCTGCAGCGGCTGCGGCGGGCGCTGCAGCACTTTATGCGACAGGAACTGCTGCGTGAACGGCTGCAATGGTGCGTTAGGTGTTGACTGACCTGCGAAGCACACGGGCGTGGTGTGGGTGCAGTCGGGCTGCAGCAGCTGCAGCGGCTGCGGTGGGCACTGCATCACGCTGTGCGACAGGAACTGCTGCGTTAACGGCAGCGCTGGTGCGTTAGGAGTTGACTGACCTGCGAGGCACACGAGAGTGATGTGGGTGCAGTCGGACTGCAGTGGCTGCGGCGGGCGCTGCAGCACTTTGTGCGACAGGAACTGCTGCGTGAAGAACAGCGCTGGTGCCTTAGGTGTTGACTGACCTGCGAGGCACACGGGAGTGGTGCGGGTGCAGTCGGGCTGTAGCGGCTGCGCCAGGCGCTGCAGCACTTTTTGCGACAGGAACTGCTGCTTGAACGGCAGCACTGGTGCGTTAGGTGTTGACTGGCCTGCGAGGCACACGGGCGTGATGTGGGTGCATTCGGGCTGCAGCAGCTGCGGCGGGCGCTGCAGCACTTTGTGCGACAGGAACTGCTGCGTGAACGGCAGCGATGGTGCGTTAGATGTTGACTGACCTGCGAAGCACACGGGCGTGATGTGGGTGCAGTCGGGCTGCAGCGGCTGCAACGGCTGCGGCGGGCGCTGCAGCACTTTGTGCGACAGGAACTGCTGCGTGAACGGCAGGGCTGGTGGTTAGGTGTTGACTGAACTGCGAGGCACACGGGCGTGGTGTGAGTGCAGTCGGGTTGCAGCGGCTGCAGTGGCTGCGGCGGGCGCTGCAGCACTTTGTGCGACAGGAACTGCTGCGTGAACGGCAGGGCTGGTGGTTAGGTGTTGACTGAACTGCGAGGCACACGGGCGTGGTGTGAGTGCAGTCGGGTTGCAGCGGCTGCAGTGGCTGCGGCGGGCGCTGCAGCACTTTGTGCGACAGGAACTGCTGCGTGAACGGCAGGGCTGGTGCGTTAGGTGTTGACTGACCTGCGAGGCACACGGGCGTGGTGTGAGTGCAGTCGGGCTGCAGCGGCTGCAGTGGCTGCGGCGGCCGCTGCAGCACACTGTGCGACAGGAATTGCTGCGTGAGCTGCAGCGCTCGCCCTGCCGCACCCCCACCCATGCGCAGCCCCGTCAGCGACATGCGTTCCTGCAACCCGCGCACAACACCATGTTCATATACCTGGAGTCCGACTGCCTAAGTACCACTCTATCACACATTTCTGCCACCAACCGATACTAAACCTTGATATTAAGTGGATGCTAAGCCCCTAGACCCTATTTACTGGAAACGAAACATTCCATCTTAGTCCTGAGGGATGACAATGCATGTGCATTTCGATTCTTTTTTTTTTTCTTTCGTATCTCCTCAGTTTCAAGGCACTCCCCTTTTTGCCTCAGCCAGTATCGGTATCCTCGGAGTCGACATATCGAGTGACGTGCAGTTTCGTGGTCACTTGGAAGAGAAGGCCAAATTGGCCTCTAAAAAGCTTGGCGTGCTCAGCAGAGCGGGACAGTATTTCATGCCGGCACACCGCCTGCAACTTTACAAGGCGCAGGTTCGGCCTCACATGGAATACTGTTCCCATCTCTGGGCAGGGGCTCCCCAGTGCCAGCTCCTTCCACTTGACCGCATCCAGTGCAGAGCGGCTCGAATCGTCGACGACCGAGCCCTTTCCGATTGGCTCGATTCATTGGCACTGCGAAGAGATGTTGCATCTCTTTGCATTTTCTTTCGCATCTACCATGGGGAGTGCTCTGAGGAATTGTTCGGATTAATCCCAGCCGCCAAATTTCATGAACGCACATCGCGGCAGAACTCCCGATACCATCCACATCATCTGGATGATTGGAGGTCCACCACTGTGCGATTTAGAAGATGTTTTCTTCCTCGCACGACTTCCTTGTGGAATCGATTACCATCAGCGATTTTTCCGGACCGATACGACTTAGGGACCTTCAAGAAAAGAGCCTACTCCTTTTTAAAAGGCCGGCAACGCATCTGCAATTCCCCTGGTGTTGCGGTTGTTCATGAGCGGCGGTAGTCACTTACCATCAGGTGAGCCGCATGCTCGTTTGCCCCCTCTCCTATAAAAAAAAAAAATTCTTATTCGAATATAGATGTAGATAACCATGGGCTACAGCATCCACTTAACATCAGATGGACTATGTGCTAGTTTGTCACACTTTTCTATAGAAAATAAAAACATTGCATTGTAGCTAAAATTTATCTGACCATGTGACCTCCTTGACCATGTGAAAAACCCTGTATAAAAATTGTTGTTTCTTAAAACTTTAATAACTTAATATTAAATAACAATATCGCAATATATTTTTTATAAGGGAGAAAACCTAGTTGAAATCTATACAGTACTGTAGTTTTCCCGTGATGCGTGCACAACTGCACGCCTTTATCATTTTATTTATATAGATTATAATATAGATAGAATACAAAATTCTTACCTGTTCAGACATAGTTTTCACTATGTTTTCATAGAAGAAGTCTTTTAGCCAAGACCACTCTGATTTCATCAAGTAGTCATAGACATCAAAGTCATCTAGTAACAATGTATTCTCCACTCTGTGAACCATCATGCTCACCTACAACCAAAGATAAACATAACACAGTCAATTAATGAAGCTATTAAACAATGTCTTATTTTATTTTATATAATATATTTGTACCACATATTTTATGTGGTAGGGCCATGCTACAGTTATATTGCGGTTGCAACACGAAATGATCAGCTCAACTGGGATAGCACCACGCTCTCACAGAATAGCAGCTTAACGCTGTTGTGTTTGGTTTTGTATTGTGTTTGTTTTTAACAGTAGTAGAGCCACGCGGCAGCTTTTGCTGTCGCACGGATGGGCCGGCTCGAATCGGGGTAGTACCACGACCTCACAGAAAACCTGCGTGAAGTAGAGGTTTACCTCTGCGTTTCGCTTGGTGAGTGCAGGTGGCCGGAGGCCCTTTTTACTGGAAATGAGGCATTCCATCTTAGTCCTCACGGGTGACAACGCATCTACATTTTGATTTGTAACAGAGGATAGATGTAGATGTCTATAGGCCGCAGCACTCGTTTGTCACCCTTATTCTATTTAAAAAAATCCATATAAACTTCAACTTTGCCAAAAATCTCACACTTTTCCAAGCTTCCAAGCAACAATATGCTGAAAAGGTGTACAATGTTTTTCCTTCACATATTAATATATAGATACTTACTGTGCCATTAGGCTGATAGGGTAATTTCAGTAATTTCTTAATGCACTCTGCATCAGATATCACATCCACTTCTCCAACACAGTCAGGAAACATATGCGCCATTCTAAAGCTGTAGAAGCATACACATTTGTTATTAAATATGTATTCATTAAAAGACTAATAGTAAGGCCCAGTACCTGACTTGAGCATTAAAAAAACAACATGGGATACCTGCAATTTATTTATTCATTACTTTTCTTTTCAGTCGCATTTAAAATGAGGCCAAAAGAAGTTTGATAAGCATAAAACTAAATCAAAATTAAAGTTGACAAAAAATTACTTTGCGTATCAAAATTTACCTTGATAAGCCAGTTCCTCTAGTCAATATTTGTTTTAAGCCATACGAGTCAATGGCTGCTCCCCAGTTTGAGGGGGGCAGATTGAGGTCCGTATTGCACTGCAACCGAGCATATCCTACTGGACTCTGGAATGCTGTGTACTTCACCACAGCTGTTGATTTGATGCCCGGTGATGGACTTCGATCCTGAATTAATATTATAATTTTTAAACATACTATTTGTACAAAAAAAACATAATGATGATAACATAGCATCCAAGCGTTAACATTTCGAACATTTATCATCGCTCCAGAATAATATCTAGGTAATATTTAAAAGAAAATACTAGGATAAAAATAAACAAGGTATCGGTCACCAACCTTGTTCCTCGTTTGTTCGTTTTCATTTTCACAATCCTCCATCTTATTAATTATTGTAAGCAGTAAAACGCTAAATTTCACAACTTATGCAAACTATAAGTTGTAACTCTTCCTCTTATATTTATTTTGTGTTTATTGAATTGAAAACAAACTAAAATGTAGATGACCAGTGTGACTATCTTTAAAATACAGATCCGCCTTACTTTGGTTAAAAAACTGCCAAATCCTGCCAAAGTCTGTAGTGAAAAATGCCTTAATACTGCCAACTTTATTTACTATTGCATAATTGTATTAAACTAAGAAAAGTTAAAATACACATTTAAATGCTATATTTTTATTAAATTAAAATTAAACATATCTTTCGCTGGCTTGAATGCAATGCAATCGCCATGCTCACCAATGCCTTGTTTATCTTCCAAGATAGCCGCTACGTTTTTTTATTTATTTATTAAGCATAATTATGTTACATTATCCAGTACAATACTAGCATATAAACCTCTAGGGGTTTATCTACACTAGAGAGTCGTCTTATAAAAACAAATATGTATTAATATTAAATCACAATAATCCAGTATGAAGTACTTACTACAATAAGTATGGTTGATTTATCAAATATGATTTAAGTTTACTTTTAAACAGTTTTGATTTACCGTATGTATTTTGTAATTCTAGTGGCAAGGCATTAATAAAAGTAGGTACAAGATGGGCCATCTTTCATGCTCCATAGAAATTTTTAGTTTTCGGAAGTACATACATGTTGGATTTAGAAGCTATATTTCGTAGATTTACAGGTCGTTTTCTAAGAACTAGGTATTCTGAATTATTTACTTCAGTCAGTATATTAAATTTAACTTTATCGAAAACTTTTATGACTTTGCAATAATTAAAAAGACCCCGGTCATTATCTATATACTTATTTTTAATGTGCTTAGGTACTATCAATCTAAGCATTTTGCGTTGTAGTGTGTAAATTTCATGTATGTACGTTACATAAGTTCTTCCATAACCGCTAAGTCCATAATTTATAACAGAATCTGCTAGAGCCATGTAAAGTAATCTAAGTATTTTATATGGTAGCTTAAATTTTAAAACATAAAGTTTACTTAACACAGAGCGAAGTTTTGCACACACGTGATATTTATGCGCTCTCCAGCAAAATCGTTCGTCAATAATCAGACCAATATACATGTGATTTTTGGCATTTTCAATGGGTTGACAAGTACAGTGTTGAAACATTCCGTGGAGACATTCATGGCCATGGGAAATGATAGTCGGTGCAGTGGTAATTTTGTTGTGAGATGAGTGTATATGAACAAGTTTTGTTTTTTGAGCGCTAACCACTAGGCCGACATCATGTGCAAGTGGGCACATGATGTCGGCCTAGTGTCGGTGTCGGCATAGCATGTCATAACTTGCCTGCATTTCAGTTTGTGCTACATCCATACTATGATCGGCAATAACGATACAGGTGTCATCGGCAAATTGATATATAGAACCCTTAGTTATTGCATTAACCATATCATTTACAAATAGCAAGTACTCAGTTGGGCCCAGTATCGAACCCTGTGCTGTACCCCGGTCAGTCACAGACATATCACCTGTCTGGTTACGTATTTTGACAGTGGTATAACGATTATGATGATAACTTTTAAGAAGTTCTAAGAATGGTCCTTGAATGCCGCAGCGTGATAGCTTATTGTATAATGTAATGTATACATACTTGTTTATATCTAATTATGTTTCGTGTTTTTGTATGAATTAAATTTATTTGAGAGACTATTATATCGCACGCTGAATCCACTTATATTTTTTTGATGTTTACTAGTAGTGGCATACTCTTTTAAAGCGGACAGTGGGGATGCCAATTTGCAGTTTCTTTTTATAGAAAAAGAGTGACAAACAAGCACACAGTCCACCTGATGGTAAGTGAATGCTGCGGTCCATAAACATTTACATTTATCTTCAATTAAGAATCAAAATGCAGATGTGTTGTCACCACTGAGGACTAAGATGGAATGCCTCATTTCCAGTAAAAAGGGTCTCCGGTTCTCTACACTCAACATACGAAACACAGCAACATTAAGCTGCTATTTCACGCTGGTATTTTGTAAGAGCGTGGTCCTACCCCGGGCGAGCCGACCCATTCTTGCTACAGCCATAATACCAAACTAAAGTACGTCTCTGCTTTGACTGATTGAAATATTAACCATGAACTCATGTTTATGAATACTCGTTTTAAGATTATCAACTTTACACACAAACTTTTACTTGTTTATTGAATGTGATACAAACATAGCACTGGAAGTACAGGGAAATCCCCCACATGCTGCCAAAGTACCTATGGTTTTAGGCATTTTAATGTGCCATAATAAAATCTATTTTTATTACCCCAATACTGCCAAATATTACCAGGTTTTATAAAACGTCAACCGATCATGCCAGATGCTAAAATAAGAAGCCAATCCTACCAAAATGGCATGGTCACACTGCAGATGACAAATTGTTATGCCTTGGCCTAAAGGTCTAGATACCAGGCCATACACTCCAAAAAAATAGTTATGCCTCCTCTACACTACTCGCGAAGTAGCTTTGACTAAGTGCTCGTCGAAGTCGATCGCAGGAAGAACGTGACTACACACTCGTGATACTTCGCAAAAAGCTCAGCCGTCTTGAGTGTCCCGCACCCTTAACATGAATATGTAACGTTCAGAACGTTGAACGTTTCAATTGTGTGAATAGTACGACGTCAATCCGTTAACTAAATAAATAATTATGTAGAAAGCTACATATTTAATATTTATATATAAAAAAATATTCATAACTGCCGTAAGCCGAGTAGTGTAGTGAGACACTTCAAGTAACTTCGGGGTACTTCGCAAGTCCTTTGACTCTGGCGCAAAAAACGCCACAGCTGTCGATGACCCATCTTATTGTGCTTTCGCAGAGCTTAGTCGAGCAAATGTCGCAAATTTTTTTTTAAGACAGCAAATATGGATTCAATATATAAAAAACGAGCGAGATTAATTGTTGCTACATTCCCAGAAAAAATACAGTAGCATTCAGCAGATGTAAAATGTTCACTACTTCCCCGCATAATATATATGTTTTCAACATCAGCAGAAGTTTGGTCAAAGTGTTTCAACGACCTTCGAAATTTCTCAATGACCTTGAAAAACTTTAACCTTTATTAAAAAAAATTCTAACGGTGACCAATTAATAAGACCAACTGACCTTTTATGACTAATTTCTTACCTTTCAGATGGTATAATTGGTCAATCGAAATTCAGCACATAAGGTGCTAAAATCGCGAAGCTGAGAAGTTCGCGCGTCTCCAACCAGCTTTGGTAAATCGCTCGTCGTCGCTGTTCCTGCACGACGACGTGTGACGTCATACTGCACAACAGATGGTCTCCAAGTTACAATAGCTGGGGTTGGAAGCTCTCCGTCACCCGTCATACTTACCAGACCTTGCCCTTACACACTTCTACATTTTCCAGAATTTGGATAACTTTAAATGAAACTAAATTTTACGGATTCTATCGCGTTTAATTTAAATTTTTAATTCCCAACATTTCGGGAGCTTTACAGAACCCATGGTCACCAGGAGGGGTGGGGGTAAGGTGTTTGACGTCCCGATGTCATAGTTAGCCTGACTACCTTCAATTTTTGAATATTAATTTTTGTTCCGATCTACGCAGAATCTGTAAGACTTCAAGATACTATAAGCTCATTCTGCGTAGATCGGACCATAAATTAATATTCAATAACTGAAGCCGTGGGTGCTGTAAAACATACGAAACGTAGGAAATTAAGAAGTTAAATTAAACGCGATTAAATCCGTAAAAATTAGTTTCATTTAATGTGTAGTCTTCTCGAAAATATAAGAAATCATTACTTGGTATATTTTACTCTGTTTAGATCATCATGTTTTTAAAGTGTATGCAGCTAAAATGATATCAGGCTTATTACTACTTTAAATTTTTCAGTTTTCAGGGAGAGATGAAAAAATATAAACATGAAGTATGATAAAGCCTTATAAACATATTGGCCTTTAAACTGAGCAATCTTATTTAACTAATTCCTACAAGTTTCCTTACTTAAATTATTAAGTTTAAATTCGTATTTAAGTCGAATGTTAAAATAAACTTTTATAATGTATTTAATTATTAAATGTTTGTATTTATCAAAAGTAATACTTATATGAAAAATAAAACAGCCACTATATACTCCATGTTCCCGTTTTTTATTTCCCCATCAAAATATTTTATAAAATATAAATAGGTATATACTTAGTTGACTTTAACTGCAGAGAGGTGTAAGACAGGATGACGTTATATCCCCAAAACTCTTGACCGCTGCATTAGAAGACGTTTTCAAGCTTCTGGACTATAAAGTATACGGTATTAACATCAACGGCGAGTACATCACTCACCTTCGATTTGCCGACGATATTGTTCTTATGGCAGAATCGCTGGACTAGGTAAGTCCAACTTCCCGTGTGGAGTTGCCAGAGCTACCATCGGGCGCGTCCCCAGGTGGCGGATAGGGGAACGCCACTCGGATATGGGTGGTAGCGGGAAACCGTCGCGGACCAAAACTGGCTGGGTGAGGGCTTGTTTGGATAATGAAGAGCCTACTAGTTGCTTCCCATATCCTCTCCGTTGAGAGGAACAGAGAATGTAACATGCGCGGTGAGGTGCCAGGTGCACTCGGCTTTTGCCGACGCCGGGCAATCCGTAATCGCGGGATTTTCAGGGACCACACCCTGTAAAAAAGGAAATTGAATGGGCTCAGTGTTCCCTCACCCGGTCTCTGGGCAGGCATGGGAAGAACCCGTATCGACTCTGCCACCGTTCGAACCTCACGTCACGATCACGTCTCGCGGCGCTTAAGGGGCCGAGGGCTCTTGGCTTAACCGCCTGGAGTCGCGAGGATGATAACTTCTTTAAAAAATCACCCGAAGCTCAAGCGTGGCACGCCGTGAGGAGCTGCATGGCTGATGGGTAAATGTTCAGTCGTTAGCGTTGCCCCCGTCGGGATACCGGCCGACACCCTTGACGGGTTACGCATAGGTTTATCCGGGCAAAGGAGGCGCTGCTCAGATTGACTGTTATTTCCTCCATACTCGTGGGAGAAAAATGGAAAGAGATAAATATTTAAAAACAAAAGAGGTCGAAAAGCAGGTTGGATCGGACACTGGAAGCGGTGGAAATTGGTCGCGTGCCAGAGCCAGCTGGCTCTGTATGGGGTGGACTTAGTCCTGAAGGTTGCCACCAAGTTCGTCAGCCTAAAGGACACGTTCACCTGTGGCTTAAAAGAGGTTGCCGCGGATATCAGGGAGGCGGTTGGCATCCTCCTCAACAGGACGACTTCTGAAGAGGTCGCAAAGTTACAGGAGGAAAACAGCCGCCTCAGAAATAACCTGGAGGACCTCCGGCAGCAAGTTGCTGCGCTAAGCGAGCAGCAGCAGCAACGCACGTCCACCGATGCCGCACCTGTTGTGGCCCCGACTCCCGCACCGCAACCGGCAAGCCCTCCTACCGACGAAGAGGTCGAGCGCATTGTCCGGTTCTGCATGCTCCAGTGCGGGAGCATGGTTAACGCTCGGCTGGAGGCAATTTCTCAGCGTCTCCCGGCGGAAATCCTCCGTCCACCTTTAGCGGCTGACACGCGGACTGAGGAGCCGCCAAGACTTGCGCCTCAAAAGGGGAAACCCGCGGAGGGTAACGAAAAGCCCGCGGAGGGAGCTCCACCGAGCGACCAGCCCACGATTGCCGGGTCTAAGGGTGAGACCTGGGAGAAAGTCGTGGGCCGCAAGAAGGCCCCCACAGCCGCCAAGAAAGCCGCAGCAGCTGCATGCACCCCAGGTGGAACCGCAAAGACGGCTCCTAAACCTGCGCGGCGGACTGCGAAAGGTGGTCGCAAGAGATCGGCTGTGTATGTTCCGCGATCCAACGGAGTGACGCTAACGTCAGCCCGGAGCTGTGGAGCGTGGCGTGACGTACCAGTCGGTCATCGCCGAGGCCAAGGCCAAGATCAAATTATCTGATCTTGACCTTCAGTCCGTCGCCCTCAGGCAGGCTGCCACGAGTGTGCGGCTGTTCGAGGTGGCTGGTACTGTGAGCGGCAGTCCCAAAAGGCGGACACACTGGCCGCCAAGATGAGGGAGGTCCTCAACTCTGAGGACGTCCGGGTCTCCAGACCAATAAAAACCGCAGAGGTGCGGATTGCTGGCCTGGACGACTCCGTGACCTCTGAGGAGATGGTGGCAGGCGATGCCAGAAGCGGAGAGTGTCCGCCGGACAAGGTGCGGGCTGGTGATATACGCACCGATGCCACTGGACTCGGCGCGGTCTGGGTTCGGTGCCCTGTAGCGTCGGCGAAGAAGATCGCCGATAGCGGCAGATTGCTGGTAGGCTGGGTGGCGGCAAGGACCAAGCTACTACAGCCCCGGTGTTTCCGGTGCCTGGAAAAAGGGCACGTCCGGGCGAAGTGCACCGCTGAGGTTGACTGTAGTGACCTCTGTTATCGCTGCGGCCAGCCTGGCCACAAGGCGGCCCTGTGCACCGCGGCGCTCAACTGCAGCCTTTGTTCTGCTGCGGGAAGGCCAGCAGAGCACAGAGTAGGCGGAAGGGCCTGTGGGGCGCCTGCCAGCAAGGCCGAAAAGAAAAAGGAAAAGAAGAGGAGCACTAAGCCTGCTGGGTTAACCTCGCTGCCCCCGCAGGCTAGCAACTCTGCGGCCGACTCCCGGCCCAGGACCATTGCCGAAGGAATGGAATGTCAGTAACGGCACAATTCCATTTTCTCCAGGGCAACATCAACCACTGTGCCAAAGCTCAGGATCTCCTATTCCAGACCATGGCAGAGTGGTCGATTCACATGGCTGTGGTCGCCGAACCGTACTTCATTCCCGCCCGTGACAACTGGTTGGGATGCGCTGACGGTTTGGAGGCCATTATTGGCGAGACTCTGATCGACCCGTCTCGAGGCCGCGGCTGGGTTGCTGCGGTCTCGGGCGGCATCGTTATTTTAGGGGCGTATTTCTCCCCCAACAAGAGTCTCGCCAAACTTTGAGGGTTTCCTTGTCGAGTTGGGCGCCGTCGTAGACCGCTATCACCCTCGTCCCGTTCTGGTGCTCGGAAATCTCAACGCCAAGTCATCGGCGTGGGGATCTCCGATCACTGACCCCCGGGGCGAGGTGCTAGAAGAGTGGTCTGTGACGACTGGTCTGGTCGTCCTGAATCGGCGTCCGGAATACACGTGCATGCGGCAGCGGGGCGGGTCGATAGTGGATGTCTCGCTCGCTAGCCCTTCTGTCGCTAGCCGAGTTCGCGACTGGCGTGTCGCCGTAGAGGTGGAGACGCTGTCGGACCATCGTTATATCCGGTTCGACGTCTCTGCCCAGACCACGAGCGGCTGCCATCTAAATACCCCGATTAACGACGGCCCGTGTTGGGCGCTTAAGCGAGCATCGACAGGGAACTACTCGAGGAAGCTGCCTTAGTCCAGTCCTTGATCTTGGAGTCGACGACTGACGGCCCCGTCGACGTCGAAGCGGTGGCGCTATGGTATCGCCGGGCGATGACGCAGATCTGCGACGCGTCCTTGCCCCGTGTCCGCCAGCGGTCCGCAAAGCACCAAATGTACTGGTGGACCGTTGAGATTGCGCAATTGCGCATAGCGTGCGTTGCGGCTCGTCACCGGTACACCCGATACCGGAGGCGGCGTCGACGGAATTCCGCTGAGGAGGACGCGCTGTATGAAGTGTACCGCGCGTCTAAGGAGACTCTGTGGCTGGCCATCGGCGACTCAAAGTCGCGTGACAGGGAGGAGCTGCTGGGGTCCCTAGATCGGGATCCGTGTGGGTGCCCCTACCGTTGAGTACGGGACAAGTTGCGTCCCTGGGCGCCTCCACTAACACAAAGCATGCAACACCAGTTGCTAGAGGCGGTGGTATCGGCTCTCTTCCCTGAACGAGTGGGACACGTTCCCCCGGCAATGGCTTCGCCCTCAGCCACAGACTCTCCAGAAAAGGAGAGCACCGAAGTCCCCGAGGTAACAGAGACGAGAGCGGCCGTGTTGCGACTCCGAGCTAAGAACACAGCGCCCGGACCCTACGGAGTTCCTAGTCGAGCTCTCGCCCTGGCTCTGAAGGAGCTAGAGCCCCAGCTGAGTGGGCTCTTCACGGCACGTCTCGAGCAGGGTAAGCTTCCCAGTGTGTGGCTGGAGGGGAGGCTGGTCCTCAGGAGGGGCGCCCCGCGGACTCACCGTCCGCGTACCAGCCCATAGTGCTGCTCGACGAGGCGGGCTAACTTTTTGAGCGTATCATCGCAGATCCCCTCGTCAGCCACTTGTGCAGAGAGGGGCCGGACCTGGACGAGCATCAATTAGGTTTTCGTTGCGGGCGCTCCAACATAGACGTTATTACGCGCGTGAGGGCCCTGGCGGAGGAGACAATATCCCGGGGTGGGGTGGTGCTGGCGGTGTCTTTAGACATCTCCAACGCCTTCAACACCCTACCCTGGAGTTGTATTCGGGAGGCGCTGAATTACCATCGCGTGCCTCCGTACCTCCGCAGCACAATAGGGACTTACCTTGAGGAGAGATAGTACGTGGGAATCGTGCGGTCCATGGCCCTGTATGGGGCCCCTGTGTGGGCGATGGACATGAAGGCCAGCACTCTCGCCATTCTGCGCAAACCGCAAATGGCGATGGCCGTCAGAGTCGTCCGCGGGTATCGCTCGATTTCCTACGAGGCGGCTTGGGTCTTGGCAGGATTCCCGCCCTTGGACCTAGAGACAAAAGTACTCGCGTCATTATATCGATGGCGCGAGGAAGAGCGGGCACGGGGCTCAAGGCCGGTGCAGCGGCAGATCGCGCTGCGCCGAGAGGAGCTCCGTCAGGTCTTGGTGGCGGAATGGCGGCAAAGGCTTCTGCGCCCTTCCGTCGGCCTCGCTACCGACAGCCAGTACTCGACGATTGGCTCGGGAGAAGGCACGGCTCCCTGTCGTTTAGGGTGACGCAAGTGCCGTCGGGGCTCGGCTGCTTCGGCAAGTACCTGTGCCGCATAGACAGGGAGCCGGACGCTCGGTGCCACCACTTTGTCCATTGCGGGGAGGACACGGCGCAATACATGCTCGCCGAGTATGTAGCTTGGGAGGAACAGCGCCGCATCCTCACAAATAAAGTAGGAGGTGATCTGTCGCTGCTGGTCTTAGTGCGGAAGATGGTCGGTAGCATAGAGTCGTGGGACGCGGTGGTGTCCTTCTGCGAGGACGTGTGTCGCAGAAGGATACTGCGGAACGGGAAAGTGAGATCTCGACTCCCTTCCCCAGCCGCAGAAGGCACACCGGGCGCAGGAGAAGGGCGGACAACGCCCTTTTCCGGCCCCCATGAATGGGTCCAGGGGTGATGGACTTGGAGAAGCCCCCGCCCCCCCCCTTTTCGATGAACCCGAGGCAGAGGCCCGCGTGAGTGTCGGCGCGCACCTCTGAGGCGATGCATGGGATAGTTGAACACCTCACTACCCCGTGCAGGAGACGAGGCCTGGACAGACCGGGCCAGCACTAGTGTGGGGCTGCGGAAGAATTTGTATTCCCGCGGCCCCGCACGCACGTGCGAGGAGGCACCGGGGTTGTTATAGCCGGTAAGAGTCCGGCACGCCCCTTCGCCTTTCCCCAGGCGGAGGTAGTCCATAAGGATTACCCCCCGTAAAAAAAAGGTAAGTCCAACTTCAACCGAGAGGTCAATCGACGGATTGAACTCAGCTGGGCAGCGTTCGGGAAATTACGGCACATCTTCTCGTCAGGTATATCTCGAAACTTGAAAACGAGACTGTACAACCAGTGTGTGTTGCCAGTGGTTACCTATGGACCTGAGACGTGGTCCTTCACTGCTGGCCGGATGAGGAAGGTCATGGTTGCTCAGCGAGCTATGGAGAGAGCTATGGGATTAGTAAGGCCCAACGGATTAGTAAGCTGAAATGGCAATGGGCTGGTCATATAGCTCGAAGAACCGACAACCGATGGGGAAAAAACGTTCTTGAGTGACGGCCTCGTACCGGTGGACGAAGTGTAGGGCGTCCCTCCACTAGATGGAGTGACGACCTGGTAAGACATGCAGGAAGTCGATGGATTCGGATGGCTCAGGACCGTGCTTTGTGGCATTCCTTGGGAGAGGCCTATGTTCAGCAGTGGACTTGTGAAAGGCTGTAATGATGATGATGAATAGTTAAGAGTCTACCAATTTATATTAACAATATGTCAAAAAATGTTCCGGGAAACTGTCCGCGGCAGTAAATATTTCTCTCCAAAGATCATAGCTCGAAAATACAATTTTCCGATCAGATTATTGGGGATTTTTTTTAAGTTTATCCATAGTCACCTAGGATTTTATACATTTGAGTTAAAATTCAACAAAAGGCAGGTAGGTTCAGCTTATTCCCAGGAACATGTTATATGAATATTTTATAATTATTTAATACTATCGTGGTAAACATTCAGTTCATTTTTAAGTTACCAATTGCGTGCACTAAACAATTTTTTTAAATATTTTTACCACTTCTTTAACAATCATTTTTCAGTAGGCCTAGTTCATAAAATGTACGTCACTAGCTAAAACGCACACAATGACAAATCAAAATTAGTTACGCCTTTTCGGGCTGTTAGATCGTCTATACGCTTGTATATTCTTAGTCTATGGTTCAATCGGTTACCGTATGTATTGTGAAAAATTTTGTGAACGAAGTATAGAATCCTCAGAGTAGGCTATATGGGCATACATTCCTTTGCCCTTTTATAAAAACAACAACAATAACGAACCGGAAGTCCGGAAGCCCAGCCGGCCATTTTGAAGCAATTGTCAATTGCGCTTCGCTTCGGCTTCGATTGTAGTGTGGTGTCTCCTGCAAGTTAGTGTAAATTATCAGCGAAATACGTCACTTTACATCAGTTTAGCCATCTTTTTAATTGGTAATTATTTCATATGTCATTTGTTTAGCATTTAAGTTTATGACGTTATGAGAAATCAATAATTAAACTACATACCGGTTCAGCCATTTTAGTCTCAAATTTTTATATTATAACAATTCTAGTTAATTTAATTTTACTGTCACAATAAATATTTTTAAGATAATTGCGCATCATAAATTTATGGAATATTATTTGTTAATTTGATTTGAGTGCCGCCATGTTGTACAAATCAAGTTGTGTTTAGAATACTGCAATGGCGAACAGAAGACCTCAAAATAGCGGTCGCCGGATGGACTTCGGACGCAACGATCGTCCCAAGAATTTTGGTCGCAGCGGGGTGTCACCGTGGCAAGGTGCTGGTCCTGGCGCTGGCATTCCCAATCTTCTGCCTCTTGCCAGCGGCTCTACTGAAGCCACTCTAGCTCTTGCTAGCAACCTTATCAACTTGCTCCAACCACGTCAGAACAGTGTTCCATCTCTACTAGATATGCCCATAAGGCGGGATTTTGGTCCAAATATGGGTCGGTTTGACCGTGGTTATGGACCCAATAGGGTATGTATAAATTTCAGCTTCAGTTACATTTTTTAAGGCTTAAGTAGATTAGTTGATCATAAAAGTATTATTATAATGTTGGTAGCTATTTGATATTCGTGTAAAGTAATAAGTAGGTTAGATTTTATCATAATAGTATTATCATAAATATAAGATTTGGTATGGTTTTGCCACTATTTTTAACAGTTTATATTAAGAAATGAAAAGGATAGTGATTTCGTCGGATATGGAATAACCTGCAAGGCTCTAGGGTACACCAAATATTCAACTGTAAGATATTTAGTCATTACTTGTGAATTGTAACAAGTTCTTATTGTCCCTGATTTCACAAGTGTGATTTATGTATCTCGACAACTGTGCCACTTACCAGGTCCAATGGTGAATCATTTAGATCATCTAAGGACCCACTCAAAAACACTCAAAAAAATCATCAAAATCGGTCCAGTAATTTTTGAGTTATTGCAAGACTTACCAGCATTTGATTTTTATACATAGAAATGATGCTGTCTCAATGGTTTACAACAATTATCTAGCTTTTGTCAACAAAATATAATGTCTCAAACTTAAACTTCACCAAAATTAAGGCAAGGTATTACTTATATAAACTTGTAACTGTTAAGTACTTGTATTTGTAGATTCTACAGTTGCATAATTTATATACAACAAGATTGATTTATTTTAGCTTTTTTCATAGTTTGCTATCCTATGGATTAATATTGCGGGGATTGGCAGTTGATATTGAGAATATAATTGTGCTAAAGAAAATAACTATTTGTGCTATACATCATAACAAACTAAGAAACTGACACAGACATTTTTCAATCTAATTAATACATTAACTGTTACTTCTCAGTTTATACTGGGTAATATTATTTATATCATAGATACCCCTGCCCTTCCCCCCTTCAGTGACATAAATCCTGGGTATATACTAAATACAGATGTTACTTCTTATTGTTATGATACTAGTGGTATAATCAAAACTGTTGCCATAAAAATTCAAACTGAATGTCAACCTACCTACCTACTTCTTTTGATAAATTAAATATTTTCTAAGAATCAGTGTCTCATCAATGCATTATCATGTCACTATATTTAACACTTATATGATTCAAATTGTAGTCAAGTCAGCATAAGCAAAACAACAGTTACTTTTTAAAGAATAAACATATCAGTATCAAAATTCCTTATTTTAATTATGTAAAGAAACACCTATTTTAAAACAAAATTACTACATTATTTTTGCTGATAATTCTCTGCTGTTGTTAAGAAAATAATCTTCATGAAGAATAATCAAAAGGGCCCTGCTCCTTAATTAATTTTTATTAATTTCACACTAACTGTGTGGGCAGAAATCAAACACCACACAACTGCAACAAACCTCATGCAATGAAATACACAACTGTATGCAGTTAAACATGTAGTACATCAGCCTAATACTAGTATTAGGCAGAAATATATTTAAAATGTACCTCGATTTGTGTATTTCTAATAAGGCTGTTGTCTTTATATTTTGAAAATATGATGTTTGATCCAAAGTTCTTCAATATGACAAAATATTTAATATAACAACTTATATCTTTAACTGTTTCTTTCAGGAGCTGTTGTCCCATTATGTTTTAATTCTTAAATAGGTTACACTGCTCTTCATTGGTTACAACTTCAATGTAACCTATGTTTTTATCTTATAATGTTCAAATTTCAGCAAAACTTCGTAAGGCTCCTAAGCCTCACTACTTCCATACTAACAATAATCAATTATCCCTTTAGATGGGCAATCAAGGTAATTTCCGGCGTACGGGAAATTACAATCGCGCTGGTGAGCGTATCAACACGAATCGTAAGCCGTTCAGGCCCAATGAAGGGCAAAGGCAACAAAACAAGAGTTCCCCGAAAAAGGAGGCCGATTCAAAGGCTAAGCCTGTAAAGGAGAGGTAAGGAACAATGACCATTTCCTTCCGGTGCCAACACCGATTTTCTGATGCCATTTCGGTGGTGACCCTTTCACACTAGTATCCTTTAAAGCGTCGTAATTTTTCCGAATACGTTCACCGGCCTCTTAAAATTTTGGCCAGATTGGCATGCTACTTTTCTGTCTCCATCATGTGGGGGCTTGAATTAAAAATCTACACAACAAAGTAAGAGAGAAATATTTGATCTTAACCATCAGGAGAACACTGTCTATGTTGCACATAATTATTTAATCTTGAATTTTCTGCCAAGGAAACAATAATTATTGATGTAACTAACAAATTTTTGTATATTTTTAAACAATGTTGGATTTAAATGTTTAGGATTTATTTCCATGATCTCTATCCAAATGTGGATTTTACATTTCACTTGAAATATGTTGTCTGTCCATAAAAGATACTTTAGCTTTTCAGTCAACATGCATAATTTTTTTCAAGAATTCTCACACAAGTTCCTAGTAATCAAAGAAAATATTTTCAAAGAATCTTGTTAATTATTATCAAAATGTAGTTTGTTTGTTTGAGTCCCATACATTATTATGCTTTATTGGTTTCATTATAAATTAATCTACCAAGTCTGCTGTAGCGATCAAGATCAAGGTGAAACAGAACAATCTGCTGAGAAGTCAGAAAACAAAGATAAGCAGAAAAAAGATGCACCCAAGACTCGTTATGATGATATCAATACTCAATTGCTGAAATGTCACATCTGTAACAAGAGTATGTGGGATGGAAGGTCATTTGAAAACCATCTGAGTGGAAGAGCTCATTCCATTATGATGCAGAAGACTGCCGAAAGCTATGCTCTTACTGCAGACACCATGAGACAAGAATTCAAGGTAACATACATGCTTTTGTTTAATATAAATATATAAAACATAAACACTCCTGTCACCAGAGGAGTGGGCAGAGACTATGGACTTCATTTTGCACGATCCTGACACATCTCTCTTGCCTCCTTTATATATATATGGCTGTATACTTTATTACCTGCATTCACTCGCCATTATATATCCTTATCATATCTATCATCTCTGCTAAAAACATCCCTGTTTAGTTACAATATTGTTAAATATTATTACTTGGCTCTGTTATTAAAGAAAGAAAAGAACTGCATTTTATTTTCTCTGTTCAAAGTCACCTGGAACGAAAGGCCAAATTAGCATCTCACGCAGAAGCTTGTTATGTTTAGTGGAGCAGTGTTTTATGCTAGCCCACCTTTGCAACAACAAGGTCAACCACACATGGAATACTGTTTTTAGACTTATGAATCATTAAAAATTGACCTGATGTGCAGATGTTCAAGAGAACACTAATATCTGTAACATCCATTTACAGATACGTGAAATGAAGCGTACAAGGAAAACTGGCCAACAACCACCTCGTGATTTCTATTGCGCTATGTGCGATATGTACGCTGCAGATGGCGCCATCCATAGGACAACTGTAGGTCACCGCAAGCTGAAGAAGTATTTACATCCAACATGTACATCCTGCCATAAAGAGATGCCGACCAGGATTGAATTGGATGAGCACCGTCTAACTGCTGAACATCTGAGGAATATGCAAGATAAGCAGGAGATTGTAATGAAGCCTAAACCCGAAGGTGAGAAAATCTTTGTATATATTGTTATGTGAGGTTGGCTAAAGAAATCTGGTACTAGATTATAATTGATTTCAGTTTAAGCGGCTTGTCAGGGTTAAGCTTGAAACTTATATTGTTTTTGGATGTCAGAAATGCGTTTTAAATTAATTACGATAAAAATAAATTTCACTAAAAATTGCATATAAAGAAATGCAAATAAGTCAATTTAGTCTAGTATTATAGGGTTGGATGTCAAAAACTGGTGTAAACGAAACATTGTTGACGGTCATTTTATGGGCATCCATCAATTGTTATTCCGTTTCTCAGTGATCACGCGGGTCCTGTCCAGTACTTGATTTTAATTATGTTTTCAATTTAGGAGGCTTGTCAGGGTTAAGCTTGAACCTTTTACACTGATTTTGGATTTCGGAAATGTGTTTTGAAAAATTAGCTAAAACTACCATATAACAAAACACAAATATGTTAATTTGTTTTTTATTACCCGGGTACACCTATAAAAAAAAAATCACTTGGACCCAGACCAATCCATTGTGGCTGAAGATGAGACTCATACACAAATAATTGAGTTGCAGTGGAGAGCAGTCAAGAGGTTTTTCAGAAAACAAAATTATAACAATTAATAAAATTTTCCAGACGTGATAGTATATGTGGAGGTGAAATGTAGAAAATATAAATTGCATGCATTTAAAGAAATTATGTGAGCAGTTAAGCATGTTTATACAATAAATTAATAAAATTAAAACAAAAAATTACATTGTTCGTTTACTACTGCCATAGCAGAGCTTACGGCAACCTGACTTTATAGATAAGATAGGTTGAATCTGTACTAAAACCAAATTAGCAATCAACGACTCCATGTAGTCTTGTCTGCCCTACCCTAGTGTTTTTGTAAAGTCGTAGGTATGGAGGGAGAGCAGAAGCATGGGATGATTACAGCATACATATGGTTTACAGTCTAATGTACCTTGGGACAACAAAACTTGCATTTTTCAAATAGTAACTATGCATGTTAGATCTGCACCTGATTTTGTACCACCATTAGTGGCTATATAAGAAAGCATAGTTCCATTTACCCCACCAGGGGTTTGATATTTACTTACTATATTAGGCAATGATGATATGAAAACGTTAGTGTCATAAACTTGTGCTAAGAACTCTGTATACCTTGTTTTACTGATTGGTATACTAAATTTCACACAGTGATGGTGATATCAACACTATCAATGGAGCAGTCGTATTTGCGTGACGATCGCGAACGTTGGCGCCGTCCTGAAAAGCAGGAGAAAGAGAAGGAAGCTGGTGATGAAGAAAAGGATGAAGACAAAGATGATAAAAAGGATAATGAGGTAACTTCAAATAAATAAAAGTACAAGCTATTTTTATGCACAACTGTTTAAATTTTGTTATTTATGATACCACACAAATAGTATTTTATCAGAGATGTTCCAGTCAAAAATTTAATATTTATTACAACTTAAATAACTGTTAAATTACATATTAATATACATACACCGCATATCTTGATAAGGCGGTGGTTAGGCGTCGCCCACATCCCACCTTTAAGGTGCCGCACGCGAGGACAAATCTGCTCAGGTTTGCACATATGTCACGGGCTTTAAAGTTATTGAATATTATTTCCGAAGAAAGGGACATTTTTCACTGCAGCCTGGCAAAGTTCACAGAAGCGGCGCACAGGGTCTGTGAGATTTTTTCATAATTTTTTTTTCTATTTTTTTTTTTCTTAATTATAATAGTATTAAGCATATATTTTATGTCAGTAGTTATATTTATCACTTATTATTTTGTTTTTGTACAGCATCGTCTTGGTTTTGTACTGTTATGATGTTGTTACTGTTTTTGTAATAAATAAATAAATATTGTAATAATGTCTGAATTTACCGACCGGCCATGGCGGCCAGTCTCGACTGAGTAACAATAGGATGAGGGTATGTGCAAACACAGGTGCATTCTCCATTCCCTCACTCTCATAGTCCGATGGACTGGTAATCTGACACGACCGGAGGGAGATCATCAGGCGCAGGACCAACGGCTTTATGTGCTGATTTCTCGATTTCATGACAGAAAATCCCATTAACTGATTTTAGCCCGATTCCGGGATGCGAACACGGGACCTCATGATCAGCATCGCGTTTACGATCACCAACAAGGCAGTATTGATTACATAAATATTAGCCCAAGATATAAACACAAAATTCTGTCAGTCTATTTTAAGTTTGTCATAGAAGAGAAAATTACATTATAAATTCTTTTCAGGATGGGGTAGAAGTAAAGAAGGAGAATGATGAGGAAGGAGAAGGGAAGCAAGAAGATGCTGAAGAGAAGAAGGAAGTTAACAACATCGACAATGAAGACACTATTTTAGACTTCAAGGAGGGTGATGATTTGTCTAATATTACTCCAGACAAGATACCTGCATATAGGTTAGAACAATTTTACAACATTATCATCACAGTGTATAGTTTTTATGGGAAATTGTATTGTATTAATAAATCAAATTTATTCTATTAAAATATCAAATCAATTCAATTTAAAATTTATTCCAGTACTGAAAGGGGAGTGGGACGTTCATTCCTCACAGAGTTCCGTTGTGTGCAATGTCGTCTGTGTCGCAAATTGCTAGATAGCGAGGAAACTGCTGAAGTGCATCTTAAGACTTGGAGACATCATCAGCTGTTCCTCAGACTTATCACAAAGTCTAATGCTCAGGTAATTATGACTGTCGGTCTCATTGGTTTGTTTGAGTGTCTAATTTGTCAAACAGAGTTACTAAATTATTATTATTTTAAAAGAAACCTTAAATTACCAGAACTATCCAGCTATATTGCTGTTATAAGGCATTCTGCTAACAAATTTAATGAGCATAACTTTAAACACGGAAACAGAGCCTCAATCCTTTTTATTTTGTTTTTAAGCATAAAAATCTGCCCAGTTTTCAAGTAGGCAACATCATTACTTTCTATTATTTTATGACATCATACAGCAGTTGTTAACTATACTATTCTAATTTGTAGTACCATTCATGTAAAATTTACTTTAAAAAAAGTCCTGCTGGGTTCCTTGCTGGTTCTTCCCAGGACAGATGTAGTAAAGTAAAATTTCTATTCTACCAAAGAACAATGGCAGACTTTCATACATAAAATTAGTTGAGAAGAAATGGTAGCGTCTATATACCAAAAATATCTTAAAATGTTAAGCGTCAGTCCCTTAATAACTCTGTCAAAGAATTTTGTACTGAGAAGGCCTCAAAAAAAGATATTTACATTTGAACCTTTTTTGGTTATGTCCTATGTCACTTGGAAAAGTTATGCTTCCTGTGATTGTTTGATGTTGGCTTAATACATAATACATAATTGAGAGTTTTATATTGTATCTCTATTATATATTCGCATACTATAGATGTATATTTCTGGCATGGCTCCAAGGCTTTTGTATCATAGTGACATTCTCAGAAGGGCTAGAACCCAGAGCCGTAAAGCCAGTAAAAAAAAACAGTGAAATTTTATTTTAGCTAGTGTTGGCATAACATTAAATGGAATTGTTACATAGTACTATGATTGAGATAATGTATTATTGTAGGAAATTGTTTTTTAGAGACTTATTCTCAGCCATATCACTTTTATTTTTATTATTACTGATAGTACAGTTATTACTAATAATAACTTAATATAAAAATATTTTGTGTGTTGTGTTGGTAGTCTCACAAAGTGTATACGAAAATAGTATGAATATACTAAATGGCAACATTTGAATAGAGTAAAATGATTTAAGTCATATATTCCCAAAAATGTTTGTTTTTTTCTGTGGCTTTAATTAAAATATATTTTTATTTGAAAAATCATAGAATAATAATAAAACTATACAATCTATACATATAATAAAATTGTAAATAGCAGATGTCTGTACATTTTATATTTTTGTAATAAAAGTGATTGAGGGGTACTAAAAATAAGTAATTAAATACATTTCTACCATTTTTAGAATTTTCTGTCTGTCTGTCTGTCTGTCTGTTTGTTTGTTAACGTATCACGTTTAAAGTACTAATTTATATCATAAGAATTGTTAAGGAAATTATAAAGTAAACCTTCGGGTTACATTTAGTCTTTATTTCATTAAAATCGGTTCATTCCATCAAAAGTTATGATAAATATTCTGAAGTATGGGTAGGGAATTTACTCAACGGTGGCTTTGTTGGAGTCATCAAGTTGATGTTAGCAGCGCCATCTCTCTTTAAATATATACATATAATAAAAATGATGATAACATGTGTCTCTTTCTGTACATTGTATATATTATATATTATGGTGACTAAAATCATTATGGGGAACTAAAAATAATTAAATAAGTACATTTTTATAATTTTTAGAATTGTCTTTCTGTCTGTTTGTCTGTTTTTATATGAAAGCATCACGTCTAAAGTAAACATCTTTTTTTTTTCAAAGAAATCGTTAAGAAAATCATAAAGCGTATCTTCGAGTTACATTTAATCTTTGTTTTATTAAAATTGGTTAATTCTATCGAAAGTTATGATTATTATTTTGAAATGTAGGTTCGAATTTGTTTAATAGCGCCACAAAATCTCAGAAATAGTAATAAAAAGATACGTGTGTAAAAAAAAACGTTCTATTATAATATATTTATACTTAAAACACAGTAAAAAAAAATATGTTTTCCTTAAATTAAAAAAGGATGTTTTCTCACAAAGAACGTAATAGATGGCGTTGTACAAATTACAACCTTTTCTGAATTGCGGTGTTAAGATTTTTCGCAGGTGAATCGTATTGACACTCACTGAAAAAATTTATATGTTCATGAGTCTGACGAAGCTGCAAGACTGTTAGAGCCGTGTAGGCTAACAACACAAAGCACAAACACCGACAGAAACAGAAAAAAGAGACGTACCGCGTACGTCGAAATTATTCAACAAAACTCGAAAACTCGACTAAAAGTAGTAAATTTGCAATAAATGTCGTGATATTGTTTTATACCCAGAATCCCTCTAAACCTCTAATACCAAATAACTTTCCTTACAGTTTTAAGATAGGGATAATAACATCGATGATGACATCGATGTTGGCATCGATAGCTCAACATCGATGTTCGATGTTTAGGCTACTCAAAACATCGATGATGACCATTATGGATGGTTTTTGTATATGTGTAGATACTTACACATTGTTTCAAAATTATGTGGGTATACACATCAAGGGAAAAGTAACTATTAACTTGAATATCAATTTACGTAGAATAGTTATTATGCGACAACCGACAACGACACTACAAAATAAAGCGAAAGCAGTGACCATTGTGACATCACAGGTGACACTTGACAATTAAGTTTGACTCACCATACTGACATTTTTTTAGGTTAACGATGCGTTCAGGAATTCTGAATTATTCAAAATTTTTAATCTTCAGAGCAGATGCAAGATTTAGTTGATATTGATTTCGCGAGTTCGCATTGTTTGCAAGTTCCCAATTATCGATTATGGGTTCATTGACGTCGATGTTTCGATGTTTGACATGTGTCAACATCGATGTTAAAACATCGAAGTTTTAATTTTTAACATCGATGATCATCTAACATCCCTATTTTAAGTGTGTTTCCCACTCAGCGTGTGTTATGCAACGATCGTAAATAAAGCGCAAGGTCAAACTTTACGCGTTGTAGGAGTGGACCCCAGTACTGATTGTTTTGCACATGGCCAACTCTATGCCAACCTTTTTCTGTACGCCCCGGCTAAGTCTACTTCTATCGTCGTTTACACGGAAGCTCTATCATAAACGACTTAGAACTTTGAGCGTATCGATTTATTTTGTTACCACTTATTCATACAGTAATGATATAAATCGTTTAATATTCTCTTACCCTAAACGTCAAATTCTTTAAGTAAAAACTATATTCGCGAGCTACGCCGCGGGCACAGCTAGTACATAATATAACTTATTTCTAGACGCTATAATTTTTGTCAACTATTTTTCTGCCATTGCTCTTTGGAACATTGGTTCCGTAACTTGTATTTCATAATAATTTTCACATAGACTTGTTACTATCAGTATTCATGGTAATTTGCTCAGACCATGCTGAGCATAGTTTTCTTCAACGAGGGGCGATTAAGTCTACTTCTATGAAATCAGAGAATAACTACTATTATTTTTTGTTGTATTTGTAGACCCAAGAAACTGCCAAGCGGCCAATGAACAGCGAGGAGTCTGGTAACTGGAAGCGTCGTAAGACCTCTCGTGACGGTAACGAAACTGAGGACGATAATGACAATGAACAGGAGGCTGAGCAGAGTGAACATGATCAACAAAATGGGGACAATCAGGATGTTTCTATGAAAGGTATTTTATTCAACTACTAATATATAAGGCAAAGCAACTCTGCCTATTTTGTTTAGCTTATTAGGCTAAACAAAGTATGCTGTTTACTTGGTACCCAAGGAACCAAGTAATTACCATTGTAGCCTATCAAGAGTCCACTGCTGAACATAGACCTCCCCCATATAGGTGATATTTGCCATAGTTACCGTCCTTGACAGGTGGGTCAAATGCAAGTGTTTAGGGTTCCGAACCCAAAGGGTAAACAACGGGGCTACTACTAAGCCTCCGCCAGGGGGATGAAACTGCCATACAAATTTACAAGAATAAAAAATGCATTGAAAGTTCTGCCCTCTAGTGAACTAGGTACATAAACTTGTAGGTTAGTTTTCTTCAGCGTTGTATAGATGGCATTAATTAAGCCAAAACCCCAGAATCCGAAGCCCAAAAAAATCTAAATCTATGGCAAGTTTGGTCTATGGTTATAGTTGACACACTCTGTTGACAGTTCTTTCTTATAAATACGAAATTACGAATATTATTGATACGATAATTCAGGAAACGAAGATATTTTGCAACTTTTCGTACCTCTCCTGTGAAAATCATAATTCAGGCTTTATGGTTATTTACTAAATTTAACAATAAATGTGGTTGTTCACAGTTTATGCACCTATGTTAACATGCTGCTAAACGGAAAATTATTAACTACTGATTGGTGATTGTGAAAATGATAATGTGAAAACTCAAGCTATTAAATATTATAACATTCATAAAAGAAAATAAATACATAATTAAAGTTATATTCAGTCTGATATTAATATTTAAAAAATCTTATGTGAAATAGGTTATTGTTTTATTATTAGTGTTAATGTTATCTGCAAAATTACCATTTGGAGATTTAAGATAATCATTGGAGATATCCAATAATTATCTGGTAGAATGCATAAACAGAAACATTGATAATAAAACTGCATAGTTCATAATTATCAATATAGTCATTGACAAAATACGCCATCTATTGGTAACCATGTCGTAACTACCGCAAGCCGTGTTGTACTAAAGAATACAGTGGCATCTAGCGTACACGGTACACTCATTCGAAAACTGAAATGAGAGTGGTGCATTTATTCCTGGTATATAGTGTATTATCTATGGCCTCTGCTGTCCGTCTGTGTGTCAGCAGGCCGTATCTCATTATTCGTATTAGGTAGACAGTTGCAACTTTCACAGAATGTGTATTTCTGTTGCCGCTATAACGATAAATAATAGAAACTAAAATGGGCGCCCCTACTGAAAATGTGTATTACGATGGTATGGAACCCTTCAGAGTCCGACTTGTACGTGGTCAGTTATTATTTTTAGTTGTAATTAGGAAGATGCTGCTGCCCATTACCTGGCTTTTTTTCACATATGGGGTAGTGGATAGTTACACAATTATTAGTAATTTAGAAAAACCAAATAATTCTTTCAAATAAGTATGCTATATCTAGTGAAGAAATGAACTCCATATCCATGTATATACATTGAAATTGTCTTGTATTTTCATTTTTAAGATGATCTCTTTTTTTATTCAGAGGAAATTGAAGAAAAAGGCGACAATGAAAAGCCTGAAGAAGGTAATGCAGAAAATACTGTAGATAACGAGCTTGAGGATTGGGAGCAGTCTGTTGATGAAATATTGAATGATGAAATACTGAATAATACAAATGACTCTGCCACTTGTAAGTTAGAATTTTTTGTCTAGACTGTTTGATCTAATGGCGTTACCGTGTGGTGGTGATGTAAGAGATTCTTACAGTTAATATTTTATGGTTTCCAATAGTGGATAATTCTTACACTGCCACTACATCAACGTGTAACAATATACACAACCCCATATCATCCCATGGTTGTTGTAAGAGCGGACAGAAGGAAACAAATCAGGAGATGGGATAAAAAATACTATTGTTAGCGACCTGCTTGCCAAGCGTGGAAAATCTGTAGTATTGGCAATGCAACTTCGCTCTGGACACATTCTGTGCAATATGTTTGCTTTCATGATGAAAAAGAAACAATCTTCAATTTACGAAACATGCAACACAATCGAAGACATATAACACTTGGTCGTGGAATGTTCCAAAAACTATCACGAGAGGAAGCTACTGGTTGCCAAAACTGACATTAAAATGTGTAACATAGGGAAATATCGTAGTATACTCTATGAACCACTGTCAAATGCTGTAAAATAAGTAATTTAATAAATTGCTTTGTGCTATTTAGTTATAAGATACAATGGGACTGACGTGTTAATAATAACAAAAGTCCCTGATATAAAAAAGAATAAAAACAATGTTACCCCTATGAGGCAATCTATGATGGCCTACGTTTATCAACGGACTTCATTAGACTGTAACAGTAATGGATATATGGCAGTATAACTATTCCATTAACGTTAGATGTAAAAACCCAGGCTGGCGACGAGAAGCAAGCGCCAAAGGTGCGTAACGTTTAGTATTACAATCGTCAATCCGCCTGACATATGTGATGATTAAGACAAACCCTCCATACAATGGGAGAGGCCCATGTACAGTAGTGGACTTCATGGGGCTGATGAAAAAGATCTCATGGTCATAATAACGAACACGAGACCTGTGTTTCAATTGCATCTGGAAACAATGTTTGTTTGAGAACACAAATTCTTGATTTTGACTAACTGTCTACAAACAAGTACAAATCTTTAAATTTCTGAGACAAAATTGACAATAATTAAAATTATATTGGTAAATAATGTGCTTATTAGTTACTACATTTATTAACATTTTATGCAAATTTTGTTAACATGTTATGTTCAATGGGGAGGAGTTGAGTCTTGTGGATACCACTGTTTTTCTCGGTATTACTATTGACGCGAAACTTTAATGGGGCCCCCATATATCTAAATAAGCAAGCAGACTTAGTTCTGCAGCATATGCCGTAAGAAAGATTAGAAGTCTCACAGATGTTGAGACAGCTAGAGATTAGTGTATTTTAGTTACTTTCATAGCGTAATGTCTTTTGGAATTTTGCTATGGGGTAATGCGACTGATATTGAAGCTATATTTCTTTTGAAAAAGAGAGCCTATTGGGCGATTTATAACTTAAATTGTAAAGAGTCCCTCAGACAAAAATTTAGAGAAATAAACATATTAACTTTGGCATCGCAATATATTTATGAAAATGTAATGTATGTACATAAAAACATAAATAGCTTAATAAGAATAAGGATGTGCATACTTTAAACACTAGGAACAAACATAAGCTTGTAATGCCAATTACTAGACTCCACAGAATCAGTAATTCATTTATGGGGCAATGTATACGCTTTTACAACAAAATACCAGAACATATTCAAAGTTTGTCAATAAACAAGTTTAAAAGTTTTATTAAAGAAAAACTGTACAAAAAGGGTTATTATAATATCAAGGAATACATGAATGAAAATAGCCCCTCGGAATAAGGTGATCGCTACCATGCTGGTTCTATGAAAAATCATTTAAAAATTGTATAAACGAAATTATTGTTAAGTGAAATATGTTTGAAAAAAAAAGTCCCACTGGGTTTCTTGCTGGTTCTTCCCAGGACGGAGGTATTTTCCAAACCAGTGGTAAATAAAAAATGACTTTCAATAAGAATTATGTAATAATCAATATTGAATAAAAAATTATTCTATTCTATTCTATGGATTGTAATTTTTTTTATTATATTATATTTATTTTATTGTATTGAGAATATTAAGCAGTTAATTTACACAATCAATATATATTCTGAAAGTACATCATATTATATAACCCCACCAAAAGCAATTTTAGAATGTATTTACACTGAAATGTAAAAAGAAAGATACCTTCCCCAGCAACCTATTTTCTGTGTGTAACAATTTTTAATATGTGATTTTGAACTTTAGTAGATGATACAGAAGAGAAATCTGAAGAAAATTCTGAATCAAAGGAAGAAGCTACTTTAAAAGAGGAGGAAAAAGAAACTCCAGTTAAAGAAAAGTCACCTCTAACTACTTTGGCTACTGCTGAAAAACCGAAACCTTCCCCACGGGGAAGGGGGCGTGGCAGACGTCGTTATTAAATTTAGAAATTACTTGTATCAAAACTGAAGTTTAATATTTTAGTTATAATTCTATATAATACATAGAAATTTCTTATAAAAATTACACCCCTATACCTGAAAAATAAACTGTTATGATACAGTCATATTCAATCTATTTGGAAAATTGTATAATTATTAATAATCACTAGATGTTAAGACTCCCTTTCTACCTAGCTTTTTCCTGATGCAAAATAATAGGTTGACATGAACGCATTGCGTTCCTGTTTGGAGGGTGTGTAGAGCTAATACATTATGCTGTGAGTGATTCCATCATCTTAGTTTGATATTTGTTACAGGTGTTCATTATTTGCAGTAGCCTTACCATCAGGTGGGCTTTCAGCACATTTGCTATTTCAATGTATAACAAAAATTTGTAATAAAAGGTACTTTATATTTGGGTTTATGTTATTTAAGTTAACATTTCTTTGTTCAAGTTTCCTCACAATGTTTTTCTTCACCACTAAGCATGTGGTAAAACAGCACTTTAAATTGCTGTTCACTCTTTTATTGGTGCCAGCACAGATCAAAATTTACGTATTGTGTGAAATATATAGCATGCGCTTAGCCCGTAAACTACCACAGCTCATAAGTTATAATTAGATAGTAATATAGGCCTTTACTGTCTTACAAGAGGGCATTCCCTACTCATCACCGATTTCGATTGCTATACGATTTCTATACGCTTGGCCATCTGAACTTTCCACTTCGGCTACTTTCATTTCGCACAAATTTATAAGTTAAGCAGGGCTTACCTGCATATCCTATAATTTTGTGCGAAATCGGTGATGACGAGTAGGGAATGCCTCCTAGTTAGTTATATTTGTCATTTTAGAAATAACAGTTTAAAATAAGAAATTTTAGTGTATATCTATAATCACTAAATTATAGAATAAACATAATTAATCATTGCCTCCATAGAGGCATATTATATTGATTTATTAACTACTACAAACTATCTGTATTCTATCTTTCGTCAATTAAGTTACATTTTAAAATCTTTGGTTTCTTAGATGTAAAGTAGATGTATTTTAAATAATTATGTATCTCTTAATTAGTCTTAGAACTTGTAGCTATTAGTATAGTAATAGAAAACGTAGCTGTTTTTGATAAACATTTAATATTTTGTTACTTTTTAATAGCAATGTATGGAATGTCGCATAATATTGTATTTAAATATGAGGAGAGGAAATTCTACTTTTACTTTAAATACATTTCAAGCCTCATAAGATTCAAATGTTATGTTATTTACAAATGGTAAGGGTATAACTCTTATATTGGTATAAGTGTCGTCTTCCTTAGCAAAGTCGAAACACGCTTCAATAGCCATAGCAAAGTTTGATCCCTGCATTACTTAGAGTATGGGGTCAGAAATAACATGATTTCAAAATCCTCTATAGTTAAATAGACACAACACATGCAATTTAATTGGAATTTGCAAGGATGTTCATTATAATATGGAACATTCTTTATATTCTGGAGTAAATATTGATAGAATATGTGTGATTAAGAGTGAATTTTGTTTACATTTCTATATGTCATACATGATTAATTATTGAAATAAATTACTTAAGTTATTATATGGAATATTTTTTAAAGATAAGTTGTAAATTCTAGAAAAGTGCTTTGAAATTGTATTTGTATAATTATTTAATAGTTGTTATTAAGAGGAAATATTGGCTAAAACACATTGAGGAATAAGTTTTTAACGTAACTACATATTGCTGTCGCGCTATGTCCGAACGATCAAGCTAAACAACGGAGAAAAACAACTGTTGCCAGCTTGACTTAATTGAAAGTGTTCACATGTATAAAAAGTTACATTTGTAAAATTTGACCTTTCATAAATTATTAAATAATAAACAGGTCTAATTAATAGGTACTGAAAGTATCAGGCGTTTGAAGATTTCTTTGACCGAAATTGTGGCTTAGGTCTAATTAATAGGTACTGAAAGTATCAGGCGTTTGACGATTTCTTTGACCGAAATTGTGGCTTTATTGTTTATTAAAAAAAAAAAATTTAAGTACTCTTGCTTAGAATTACCTACACATACATCATTCATTTTGTTTTAATTTGAGAAATTTATGCATTGTAGTATTTCACATAAAACTTTTTTAAGAAATTAAAAAATTACATTTGTTGTAAATTAGAACACTAGTACAGATCTCGCAGTAGGGACTCATTAAAGCTATGACGTAGCTATTGACATTAAGAAAATGTTTTGTAAAAGCCAATTTTGAATAATAATATTCACAATTTCACATACAATAAAATGCACTCAATTTGTGATTACAATATCGTGCGCGCGTCTCAATGGTCATACTACCTGCCTGTTACGTCGTAGTTCTAGTTATAGGTATAAAATCCAACTATTCAAGGTTCACACTGACTAATCCAATGATTTTGAGTTCAGAAGTTATCACCTTCTCTTAATAAGTGCGATGTCTTTTTTATTGAACTATTGTAGTAACCATACAAGTTTTGTATGTATACTCTTAAGGTAGTAACTATATACATCGTAGTATAGAGCTGGTAAATAAATTGTTTATTGCAGGAGTTAATTGCTGAATTACTTACAGAGTATGCTATGTTTTAGCTTTATTTCGATATAATATATTTAAGATGAAAGCGCCAGGGTAACCAGCGAAATTCAAATTTTCTTAAGTTTTTTGCAATTTGTAGGTCAGTGTCAGGTTGTATGTTTAATAAAATATGATTCGCAACCGTAAAGAGTACGTATTTACAGAATTATAATCATCAATACAACCCTCTTTAAGTTCGTATAATCCCATTGTATGGCCATTTACAGAAAAACTCATTCAAAGGGATTATATGAACTTGGAGGGTTGTATTGGTGATTTTAATGATAATAATTCTGTAAACACATACTCGTTACGGTCGCGAATCATATTTTGTTAAACATTCAACTTGGCGTTGACCTGCAAATTCCAAAAAACGTAAGAAATTTTGAATTTCGCGGGCCATCCTGGAACTTTCACCTGAACTAAAAATCTCCGTAAAATAAAATTGTATGTATAGCTACTATTTATGTAGTTATTTTTAAAAACGTTAAACCTTGGTAAGAGCAACTTGTCTTCAAAGTGATTTTGCAGGCAAACAGCACATCAACTAAAAACAAATATTTGTCCCTTACAGTGTGAGAATCAAACCCCCTCTCTCAATAGTAATATATTTTTCTTTAAAAGAACAGGCAATGAAAACCTGATTTATTTAATTTATTTCTATTTAATATTGAATTATTATTATTACATAAATACACTAAAGTCCAGTCGCGAAGCACGAAGAATTTCGTAGAATGACCTCTTTACCTTACTGACAGTGGTCACAAACATTTTTGTATTTAGTGCGGTTTACATGAAATATTTAAAGGAGAAATAAAATGTACCAACTTATGAAATATAGTTATTATTATTATATAAATTATTTATTTAGATTTTATATTACAAGTAATAAAAATCTAGACAAGTATCTACTAATTCGGCTAAAAAAAAAATTCAGAATCCGATTCCTCTGTATCGGAGTAACTGCTTTCCGAAGACGTCTCGCCTATCACATTTATCACAAAAGAATCAACAGTTTTGTCTACATTATCATCTAGTCTAGCTAATTTCGATTCCTCTTTTTTTACGTGATTGATGCAATTTTGCCATTTTTCTGCTGAAATGTTGCCTAAAGCCTCCTGGAGCAGCTTTTTAACATCTGCCATCTTAAATGTTGTATTTTTTCGGGCCACATACCCCTTGACGTCTGCCCACACTAGTTCGATGGGATTCAATTCGCAATGGTACGGAGGTAATCTCAATACCTCCACACCAACTGCTTTTGCCAGCTCATCGACCACGTACGATTGGTACTGAATCTTGACATCTTTCACCTTTTTCAAGAGCTGTACTTTTGTTTCCTTTGCCTCAAAAGAAATTTGCTTTGATGAAAGCCATTCTTGAATATCTATTTTTTTCCAATTAGTAACTGGGATTTTTTCCTGGCGTCTTGAGTGGTAGCCTGGCATTATCCATGACAACCACTGCATTTGGCTCAAGTCTCGGTAGCATTGCTTGAAACCAATGTTCGAACTTGGCTGCATTCATCGATTCGTGATAATCGCCTGCACCTTTGCATTCAAACACCAATTCCGATTCTGGCACGAATCCTTGTTCACCTCCTATTTGCCTTTGGAAGTAGGATTCTTGGCACCCGTCGACAAACCCTCCAAAAATGCTTATTTTCGTGACTGCACTGTAGTGTCTTCCCACAACTTGCCAACAGTGAACTTCTCTGGGTTTAGACATGATATTTTCAACTCGTACGCAGAATGTTCTGTCTGACAGAAAATCACTGATCCAGGCCAACAGTTTCCCACGTATACTTTCGTATATTTCCGCGAAGTGTTCTAGTTTGTAGATAAATCAGCGCCTATGGTACACGGTCAAAAGCTTTTTCATAGTCAAGATATATCACATCTTTGGGAAATCCATTGTCATGATTTGTGATCCATTCATTAACCCTATAGTTGGCAAGAATATTTTTAGTAAATATTCGTTGTTCTTGCTATATATATTGGATCTTGGAGTTGTCAAAAACATATAGAAAATATAAAAAAAAAATCCAACATATATAATTTTGGAAATATAACATGTGTATTTAAATGCACATTGCTAGCTTTGTCGAGTTTAGGCTATCATAAAAGCGTGTGTCTTTAAATGCACATTGCTAGCTTTGTCGAGTTTAGGCTATCATAAAAGCGTGTCTTTAAATGCACATTGCTAGCTTTGTCGAGTTTAGGCTATCATAAAAGCGTGTGTCTTTAAATGCACATTGCTAGCTTTGTCGAGTTTAGGCTATCATAAAAGCGTGTCTTTAAATGCACATTGCTAGCTTTGTCGAGTTTAGGCTATCATAAAAGCGTGTGTCTTTAAATGCACATTGCTAGCTTTGTCGAGTTTACGCCATCAAAAAAGCG